TGGAGAAAGTATTATTATAATCCATATTTTAAGGTGTAAGGGTTAAAAAAAAAGAAAAAAAGAGCCTTGGGTCAGAGTGAGGTTCTGGGTGAATGTATACACTGCTTACGGCTTTTGTGATCATTAAAGGATATGCATTCATTCCCAGTGCCTGAAGGCGACCATTCGAGTCGTGTCCAATAAATGTTAATATTACCTTTCTTTTTACACAGCCCCCTTTTTTCTCTAATTGTACAAAGCCCCTGAGGATAGAAATACTTTTTTTTTTTTTTTTTTACCTCATATCCTTAGAGTCTGAAACAGTACCTGGCAATAAAATTTAAACTGCTGAAGTAGTATTTATGTCATTTATAACACCTCTATCTCCTCCAAGCCATCTTGTTTTCCTTTTTTCAAATTTCTTTGACCTCCTTGTGAGTCAGTTTCTTGCTTGAATTAGCCCCTCTTTGGCTTTCCTCCCCTTCTGTTCATTCGCACTGTCTTCGAGTAGTAAGCTCTCTGTGTTCATATACTTCGATGGTTCTGTTTCTCGGTCTTCCCATTCTTGGGCAAAGACTTTAAAGTGGTTCTTTTCTTTCTGAATTTTAGACAGTAACCATCACAGCCCCTGTAACCTGGCAGAAAAGGAGTATTTCTTTGTAGCATCCATTTTACTTGCTCAGAGTAACAGGCCAACCTCACATATGTGGGTTTTTAGGCAATTTATTCACTCCTCATAGCAGATCAAGAGGCTGCAAGGAGAAGTTCTAAATTTAATTCCAAGTTGCTGTAATGTGAAATAAAACCTAGATGAAAACATTGATCATTTAAACCTCAGTGTCTCCCAAATATGCATTATATATTGCCATGTAGCATCACACTCCAGAAAATGATTTACTTTGCCTCAACAAATTAATTAGGTTAGGAAAAAACACTTTGAACTATTTAAAAACTGTGTGTGCTCTGGCGCTGCACAATGGGAACACACTGTGCACACTAAGTAACAATATACATCTAATATCATCCTCTGTGTATCTTTTTTTGGGACTTCAAAATAAAAATTTCCAAACTACACCCAGAGCCTTCTGCCAGTTCTACCACACATCTGACATAATGCAGACCTGAAGCTCTCCTAGGAGGTCACTGTGTTTAAAACAACAAATAATTCAAATGAAGGGTTTATATTCACAGGTGGCTCAGGAACAGAGGACGACTCATACTTGGGGTAGGCAGCAGACAGAACTTGGTAGTATTCTTTCTTTCAGCAGAAAACTTAGCTTATATGCTCATAACCAGAATAGATAGTAAAGTTCACATTTTACTCAACTTTTATTATTTTTTCTTTGTATTGAGATAAGCAGTTTGCAAAGACTTCCTCTTTAGTCATTAAAACATGACCAGGTAGGAAAAGATAAGTTAAACACTTACTTCCATAATTTGGCTTAAGATACATAATAGTCTTAGAGTTTCTTTTCGACAATCAAAATCTGCCATTGGTTCCAGGTAACATTAGATCTTTTCAATTCAATGTCATGCCAATGAAAAGTATAAAAACACAATGTGAGATAATTTTTTGAATTCAATGTTTTTAGTAGATTAAGACTCTTTTTTAAAAACAGTAATCTTTGTATTTCTGTAAACTGTAGGGGGAAATTAACATCAGTTTGTGTGTACATTGCCCGAATCTAATCGGAGACATTTCTGACAGCGAGGGTGTGATCTTAACTGCTGTTACAGCAAATTATTTTTCTGTACTAAGTATATTTTCTTGAATCTCTTTGAAATGGTGGTTAAACGGGCACAGAGGGAACCTCAGTGAATGGAGAAGGAAAGATGCAGCAGTCCTGAGAAACTAGTAACATCTACTAAGTTCACATGGCCTGAGAAGGTCTGAGGTCCGGGAGCAACTGGGTCAATTTGGTTAAAATGGTTCAAATTCAGATAAGAAATCTCATACAATCAATTAAACTGAGTTGACTGTTCTTTTCATATGAGAATATGGACAATATCTGATTCTAGGAGCACAATGAAAACATAATGCTTAAACAAATCAAGATTGTCTAAAGCATAACTTGTTTGGTAAATGATAAGATTAGGAAAATAGAAAAGAAAAACCACTTTCTTCTAGAACGACTCACCATGGACTATGATTAAAAGCTCAAAGTTCCAATCCTACATTAATTACATTTTATGAACTTCCCAATGGTAAGCAGAAATTGGGCTCATTAACTCGAACAGTTCTACAGGCAATATTGCTCCGGTGAGATTGCTAACTCTGGAGAATGGCATTTTATTTTGATAGACAGTATGTACTTCGGACATATCCATTATTAGTGCCTTGAAAACCAAACACCTGTAAAAGTTAGCAGCAGCTTCTGCAGGTACAAAAATACACATTTATTACATAACATGATAGTAAAATTTGTCAAGATATATTATACAAACTCAAAGCATTTTAGATAAAGCATCAGTCTAATATATTATAGATTAACAGAGTATAATAAAATGACATGTTCTTCAAATCATACAATATAATATTTTACAGCAATATTAACAAACTATTCACATTAAGTATTATAGGAGGATCTAAGAAAACACAGAGAAGGGATAATTATTTAAGAATCTCAACATCTACTTTTGTCTATGCTTCAAATTGGGTGGGTGACTTTCTATTCATCAATATATATATACATAAAAGTCTAGAACTATTATTTTGTTAAGTAGAGAAGAAATTTCTTCCAGAGAGACCCTCCAAGCTGGAGAGCTTCATTCACATCTTGCAGTTCTAACAGTAGCTTTGCCCTAAGGGTGAGGGGAGTCCCTGCTGCCTTTATACACTGCAAAAGATGCACACAGACACGCAGGAGTCTAAATATAGGAGTGGATGGTTACAAGGTGCAACCTACTTCACATCTGTGACTGAGATGGCCAGTGGTATGAAGGAGTTCTTTGGACCTAGAGTTATAAAAGCTAATTATAATGCTAAGGGCAAACAGGGCCATGTACCCCTAGAGGTAGGTAGCACCAATAGCTAATACTGAAAATAATTCTTATATCTTACAGAAAACATTTTATTTCTATTTATTTTATTGATTTTAGAGAGAGAGAGAAAGGAAGGGAGAGAGAGAGAGAGAGAGAGATAAACATCGATTTGTTGTTCCACTTATTTATGCATTCATTGGTTGATTCTTGTATGTGCCCTGACTGGGGATTGAACCTGCAACCTTGGCATATCAGGATGATGCTCTAACTGAGCTACCCAGTCAGGGCTGTCAGAAAACATTTAGGACAATAGGGAAAGAACCTTTGACATGAAAGCTTCCTGGTGGCTCAGAAAAATAATTCGGAATAAGCTAGTTTGTGGGAGAAAGGTCCATTTGACAGTGGACTAAAGAGACCTAGTGGGTTCTAAGCAACTTCTTATAAGTAACAAGTTCAAATGAAGGAAAATGCACATCCTTTCCTGACTCTCCCTTCATACTGGCTGGCAAGGCCTAATAATCAATAGAGTTCATCCAGGAGATACACCAGTGTAAATTCAAGACAAGAGAGAGGAGAAATGTCCATGGATATAAAATAAACCAGTGGGGTAGGGTATACACTATCTGTAAACCATGAATCATTTGAGACAAAAATGTGTAAAAACTTCTCGAAGTAGGGAACTCCAAAGCCAGTGATTGAGGAGAAGGCCCGACAGCCACTTTGGTGGGTATTCTATTCTGCAGTTCTTCATAGCCTGGCAACCTCTAAATTGCTCTCTCTATGGCCAAATGATAATTGGAAAAAGGACGACTTATTAGTAATGTGTTCTGGCTGACTATGCTAAGAGGCAGGGCTGCAGAAAAACGAGCCAGGTTTTCACAACCTGTTGGCACAGCATTTGTGTGACAGAGAAAGGACTGCAGTTGCAGCCTCCTCTACACCCAGGTGACGTGTGCTTTCATGTCACCTTCTAACAGGAAATGCTGCATTTCTGGAGAATGTTCCCAGCTCCGGTCCCTTTGGAAAGCACACTGAGATGAGCAACCATTTCCTCCTTTCTCTGCACAGCTCTGTTTCGGGGAGCAATGCAGAGCAATGCAGCACTAATAGAACAACGAATCAAGCCACACAACTAACAGAAACACGGCAGCATGATGCTCATGGTTCTTGAATCACTCTTGTTTTTCCAGTCTAGCTACACCAACGGGCTATTTTCTGGAATGATCCTAAGAGGTCGTGTGACTATATGATGTCATAGAAATGGCCACTGACTTGGATTCAGGAAAATGTTTCACATGACTTCATTGACAGGCATGCTTTTCTTCCCAATGCTTCGATTAGTGGCATCTTTCTTGCCTATTTATAAAACACGTTCCATGGAATGTGGATGGTTTCTTGCACCCTTGCTCTCTCCACAGTCCTATTCTTCATTAACGATATCCTGGCCTCTCAGGAGACTAATAAGGCATGTTTCCTTTTTATGCTAAGTGATAAGACAGTCAGAGAAGAACAAGTACCATACAAGTTCACTTCTATGTGAAATCTAATGAACAAAATAAACTAACAAACAAAATAGAAACAGATTCATAGATACAGAGAACAGACTGACAGCTGTCAGAACAGAGGAGAGGTTGGGGGGCTGGGCGAAAAAGATAAAGGGATTAAGCAACCCTGCCCTTCCCCCCCAAAACCCTCACAGACACAGACAACAATATGGGGATCACCAGAGGGAAAGGGGTATTGGGGCAGGTAGAAGAGGGTAAAGCAGTGATAAATAGTAATGGAACAAGATTTGCCTTGGGTGGTGAACACACAATACAATATACAGATGATGTATTATAGAACTGTACACCTGAAACCTACATACTTTTATTAACCAATGTCACCCAACACATTCAGTAAAAAATTTTAAAAAAAAGGACACTTTCTCTAGCTCTCTGCTAGTATCTCTAAAATCACATGACAGAACCAACCCCATGCGCTAATAATGAACAGAATCCCAAACACTTAGGTGATGAATTTTTGTGTGTGTAGCCAAATGGTCTTAATAAAGAGAATTATTTTGTTGCCCTAAGTATTAGCAATAATTATCTTTATTCTACCTATCCCAGGTACTTTATACAGAGGGGTTATAATAATTATTGTGCAGATATCATTATTAGCCCAGTTTCTGTTCTTATAGATATCAGATTCTTATTGTGGCAAAATGTCTTTGGTTGAATGTTTGTCCCCAACATCACAAACTCCTGTAGGCTCTGAGTCTGGGCTGGACACATCATCCATAATCAAAGAGCTTGGTGCGGGTCTCGCACAAGGCAGGATGCCAGGAGGGCACTGCCCACCACTCTTTTCTTCCTTGTGTGACTTCATACAAAGCTCGATCGTGTCGTCCACTAGGCTGAACGGAGAGCTACCATGTTTCTCTGAGATTTGGCTGGGGTATGAGCTACACCGCTGGGCTGTCTGCACAGCTTCAAGTCCTTCAGTTGCCCTCAGGGCCTTGTCTTTCTGTTTTTCTTGTAGTGAGTTGGCCTCTGGAACCCCAAAAACATGTGGAGGTGGCTCCATGGGTCCTTGCAGAGAAGCTATTTTCCTTTCCTCTGATCTGGTTGCCCTTGTTTTGTTTTTGAGGGTCCAGTTTTTTAAACTGGCCATACCATTTCTTAACCATGTGCTGGGATGAAGAGTTACTGAATGTATTTGGGAATGCCGCTCTATGGTGTCCTTTTTTGTATCAGCCAGGTAGCTGCTGGCCTGCCCAGAGGCAGGACCAGGCATTCCAGAAATGGGACTGGAGCTGTAGAAGTCAGAAAGTTCTTCCTGCTTTCTTTGAGCCTGAAAAGTGCAATCTATCGGAGAGGAAGTTTCAGTGGGTGTAAACACGGAATGTTCTGAAATCTGAGAAAAAGCACTGTCTTGGGAGCTGACTGAGGAGCCAGATGGGGAAGTGCCTGGGGAGGACAAACTGGAGAAGCTAGTCCTGGGGCCAATGTTCAATCTCGAAGGTGAAAACTTCTCAGTGCTCTGGTTTGTGGCACTACTCTTGCCCACCTCGATCCCCAGGACCAAGCTCTGATTAATAAGCTTTTGTCCCTCCATTTGCAAAGACTTATGCTGCTTGAGATAATCCTCCTCCTCATGCAAGTGGCCAGCTTCGTAGCTGGTTTTGCTGTGTTTCTTTGAGAAAATCCCCCTGAGATAGCTCCGTTTGGAGTGCTGGTCATCCATGCTGGGCTCCGAGCAGCGCCGGTGCCTCCTGGCACTCTCGAGGGCCTCGGTGGTGTGTGGTGGGGCATGTCCTGCTGCACCTGCATCAGAGGGCCGGCTTCTGGGATGATCTAGTGAGGACAGGTGACTGCAAGATGCCACAGAGATGGCCATTGGCTTGGATTTAGGGAGAAGCTTCACATGATTTCCTTCATTACCAAACATGCTTTTCTTCTTAGCTTTTTTGTTAGTGGCATTTTTCTTGGTCTCAGGGTCCGTGACTAAACTCTGCTTAAAGTAAGTCTTGCCCTCTTCCTGTAGGTGTTGATTCTGCTTTAGATGGTCCTCATCTTTCTGTGAGAGTGTTGCATCACAGCTGGACTTGCGCAGCTTTTTCTGGTAGAACTCCTTGAGAGAGGAAAGCTTGGAATCCAGACAGTCAATGCTGGGCTCCGAGCAGCGCCGGTGTCGCCGAGGGCTTTTTGGAGCGTCCGCTGCAACTGTGGACAGGTAGCTGGGTGTGGTCATGCCAGACGGGGCCCTGGCATGGTCCTGCAGTGTGGCCTCTCTGTACAGTACTGTAACGGTCACCGGCTTGGATTCGAGAGGCCGTTCTATTTGAATGTCTTCATGTTTAGAACAGTCTAAGTCGAAGTCACTCAGGGTTAAAAGACCTTCCACCTCAGGCTGGTCGAGGTCATAGTCACTAAGGGTTAGGACCGAGTCCATGCTTCTGCTCCCCTGGCCAAGGTTCTTCACCAAGTCACTGCATGGGGCATCCACATCCTCATTCAGCTCGTTTTCCAAGCTGTCGTAGGAGGAGTCAGTCATTTGTAAGCAAGAGATATCTGCAAAAAAATCAAACCGTGATTGCCATGGTTAATTAATCCATATACATGCCGCCTTAAAAAGAACTTAAAAGAAAGTTAGTTTAATTCTCTTTTCATGTAGATTTTCAAATTTCTACGCTCAAGTAAAAGGATATTTCACAATTTGTTAGAGCAGAATATAAAATAAAATTGTTTGGGCATACTAGATCTATCTCAGTTCCTGAAGAAATGGGCTTTACTTAAGTAAGATTTCCTCAAAGCAAGGAGACATGTCATAATACCAAGAACTAGTAAAAAAATATAAAGGAATCAATGTCAGATGTACCTGGGTATTGAACAATGCCATCTATCACAGACTGCTGGCGCATGCACATCATTAACTCTTCTCAGGGAGACCATCTACTAACCTTATCAATTTCTCTTTGACAAAGTTCTTTAATATGCATCATTTATTTAATGTTTTTTTTTATCCTCACCTGAGGACATTTTTTGTTTAGATAGAGTGGGTAGGAGAGGAAGAGAGAGAGAGAGAGAAACATTGATGTGAAAGAGACACACCGAGTGGCTGCCTCCCCCAGGACCCAACCAGGGCTGGGGAAAAACTGCAACCGAGGTACGTGCCCTTAGCGGGAACCGAACCCGGGTCTCTCTGAACCGCAGGCCAATGCTCTAACCGCTGAGCCAAACCGGCCAGGGCATTTACTTAATCTTTAAAACAACCAAAAATGTTAGACATTATGGTCATCCATATTTTATAGACACAGAATCGATGTTCAGTGGCAAAGAATAATTGGCCAAAGATAACCTGACTAGTAACTGGTGGTACAGAAATTCATATTCTGGAAGATTGAATGTCTTCAAGTCTCCCCTACCCACCACGATGCTAGCTGTTCTCAAACTGTTTCATAGTGCATTAGAATTCTGAGGTGTCAGGGACCACTGAGAGGAAGGAGAGAGATAAAAGGGCCAGCCTGCCTCTACTGCCTCTGGGCCTTCACACCCGTTTTAACTATAGTCGTTCTATTATATATATTAGCATTCTTTGTAAAGTTTTATTAAAAAAAAAAAAGAGGTTAAAACTATCAAACCATATCAAGCTGCCACTCACAAGTTCCTAAAGTTTGGGATTTCATCTTATATGTTTCTAACCCCACCAGTGTTAACATTAGCAGGCCTTCCAATGAAGGAGCCCTAGGTCCACCTGCCAAGGGCCATGGCTCCCTTCCCCCGAGCTGCTGGGATCCAGGACAGCCACTGTTCCACCACCTTCACGCACGTCTATTTCTCATAAAAACAATCCAATTATTCACAATACCTGAGGTATTCTCTCTAGCATCACACCTCACTGAAACCTCTCCAAAGAGGGAAGTGATTTCTTCTCCAAATATTCTACAGCAATTTTCAATCAGAAATTGAATAAGCAGAGTAACCTGTACAAAAAGGGACAGAAATGAAGTGCCACTTTTCATATAGCATGTGTATAACTCGTAGTTCATATATGAAGCCTGATTTCAACAAAAATCCAAAAGAAAAATTCATGTCTGTTTTAAAAGTATACAGAAAAGTTTCCCCTAAAAATCTACAACACTGTCAAAAGTAATTTGGGGATAGAAATGAATTTTAATCAGTGGACTAACATTATTTGTGGCCTTGGCTTAACAGTAACATTTTGATCCCAATGGCTCTGTCTTGAAAATTAGGGTAGTTTTAAGTATTCTTTACAGTGTTTGGGGTGAAGAAATATACTTTGTTATTAAAATCCATAATGCTTCATCAGATACAGACTTGTGAAATGCATTTCTTATGTAAAATGCAGTTGTCATAGGCTCTGGAAGAAGGCATCCTCTGTGGGTTGACTGTGAAGGAGAGAGACAATTGGAGAGATGACTGGTCTCTACTTGGCATTCCCTTCCCTTAGGCTCCCTAACTGGAGGCTCTTGGGAAAGAGGCAAGATCTCACCAGGGAGCTTTGTGCCTCCACTGAGATGTACTGGAATCTTTGTAGTTTCCCTGCCCCAATAGCTGAGGCAAAGGAGCAGGCAGGATGTGCGAGCAAAGGGCCACACGGGAGCGCCAGGCGTTGCAGGAGTGTGCTTTCAAGTAACATCGTATGAGCGAGTTATCACCACCTGCAGTTTTCAGATGAGAAGCTGGATCAATGTAACTAATTGGGCCCATGACTGTACATCTGGCAAGTGATGGGGCTGAGGATTGAACCTTAGCTGTCTGACTTCAAAGTCTTTGTTTTTTTTAAAAATCATATCAACTGTTTTCTTTTCACTGTGGTTTAAGCCAGTCATACTTTTTTGCCTTTTTAAAAGGAAAAGAGAATTAACTGAACTGTTAGCACTTTTCTGCTTAAGAAATCACTTTCAATAGCCTACAATTAATAAATTCAAATTTATGTCATTTAAGAAAATGTCTTTCAGAATTACTACTCTAAATTTTAGGATCAAAATACAGACTGAGTCCCCCAAGGCATAAAAATAAAAAACTCATTACCTTTTTTGTGAATTCATTTTCTAGTTCTGGGCTTGAGGAAGTAGAAGGCCAAAGAATGCTTGGAGCAATACACACAGCTAAATTAAATGCAGTCATCTGATTGGATGAGGAGTGTTGCTCAATGTTGTGTAGTACCCCAAAAAGGTACCTGAGGAGAACAACATTGGCTCTCGGAAGCTGGTCTAACAGTCTAAAGACAGAAAAAAATGCACTCTTTAAGCAAGACATTTCCTAAAAACTGTGTGTGAACAGGCAATTCTCACTGTCCATGAGATCCCCATACAAAGCAGGGACACAGTCCAGATTGTGGGAGTTTAGTTAACAGAGCACCAAGCAAAGTGAGGACAGCCTCTACAGAATGAGAGAATAAGCAAGGGGTTTTATTTGTTTTGTACACTATCTTTACAACTGAACGAAAATGTAAAAGAATGCAGAAAAATGGCTCATAAAAAATGCTACCTGAAATTAGTATAATATGTTTTAACTTAGGCAAATCCTGTAACATTTCAGAATATTCTTAACTAAAACCCCCAAAAGCTTTCTGATGAAATTCAACAACCATTAAACTTAAAGTGCTCCTTTATTTCCAAGAAGCTACATGGGAATTGTGTCTCTTGGTGGGAACCCCAACTAGAGCGAGTGAGCCAGCTAGGTCCGTTCCGAGAGCTCAGGCTCTGTCCCATGAGCTTCCAAAGCCCATCGGTCCCGTCTCACCTCACTGGCGTCACTTTCTACAAGTCAAGCTTATCATAATCTATTTCCTACTGTTCTTATTTTGTCATTGATAAAGGGTTTTTAAATTATCATTCACTAAAAATGATTTTTACTACCATCCAGAAAACATATATGTTGATATTCATGGTTGTTGCTCTTTTTTTTAAACAAGATCCCCAACAAAGAGGAGAAAATTAGGTATTCTGATTCTTGTTACAAAAATAACAGAGAGGCATTTCTCCAGTACAATGAACTTATAGTAAGTGTAGTTTTTGTAGGGACAAATTATGAAAGATATTGAAATGGACCAAAATGAATATGCTCAATGGAAAACGAGACGCTGCCTAGTATACTCTTTGGGTTACCTGTGTTTTTTTTGTTGTTGTTAATCCTCACCTGAGGATATTTTTCCATTGCTTTTCTGGATAGTGTGGAAGGGAGAGAGGAAAGGAGAGAGGGAAACATCCATGTGAGAGAGAAACATTGATTGGATGACTCCTGCATAACCCTGACTGGGGCTGGGGATCAAACCTGCAACCCAGGTACATGCTCTTGACTGGGAATCAAACCCAAGACCCTTTGGTCGGTGGGCCAATGCTCTAACCACTGAGCAAAACAGGCCAGGTCTGGGTTGCCTGGTTTCATGGAAGCTATAAGCCTTTGAGCTAACTTTACAAACTGTAAGTTGTAGATGACTGACAGCAATGTACCTAACATTTGTCCACAGAATTAAAAATTCTTTCTGGCTAAGAGACAAATGATTTATTTGTGGCCTTCCCCTACCTCTCATTGTCCTGGTAGAGAAAGCCAGTTTTGCATCCACTTATATTCATTTCAGCATTTCTTTTTTAAAAAAGTTTTTGTTGATTTTAGAGAGGGAAGGAGAATGAGAGATAGAAACACTGATGAGAGAGAAACCTCCACAGGCTGCCTCCTGCACACCCGCTACTGGGGATGGAGCCTGCAACCTAGGCATGTGCCCTGACTGGGAATCGAACTGGCAAACTTGGTGCATGGGATGATGTTCAATTCACTGAGCCAGACAGGCCGCGCACCTTTCAGCATTTCTGATTCAACTACATAAGCTGTGGAAGTATGAAATCTCCTTGAATTGGTTGTAACATCAGTTTTCTTATTAATGAATGATTTGAATGAAATCTTTTACATGTGCTCATTTTATATTTGCATGAGAGTCATGATTTTACCTTTTTAAAAAAAGAAATCATCCTTTAACAGTAGGGGTATAAAGTTTTAGACAATTAGCCATAAGCATAGAATCTGATCTTCACTATCTCTGAGTGGTTTCCACCAAACCATAATGGAAGCAGAGGTAGTATTTTGTTACAAGGCTTTGCTTTCTGGTGTCTCCAATAGTTGTACTATGATCTACGGATATGAGATGTCTTTCAAAAGCAGTGTGTAGATAATAATTCATATTTTAAAGTTGCTTAAGAAAAAACTGTGCTAAACAACCATATACAAAAAATGATATTGGGATTCTTGGCTTTTCAAAGAACTGGAAGAAGTATTGCTCTTTTATTTTCTTTTGTATTCCTCACCTGGGGATATTTTTCTACTTATTATCAGATAGAGTGGGAGGGAGGAAGGGAGAGAGACAGAGAGAAACATCGATGTGGTAGGGCCACACTGGCTGCCTCACACATGACCCGACCAGGGCTGGGGACAAACTGCAACAGAGTATGTACCCCCTTGACCGAAATCGAACCTGCGACTCACTGGTCTGCAGGCCGACACTCTAACCACTGAGCCAAACTTACCAGGGCAGTATTGCTCTTTCTTTGATGGACACTTCTTTCCTACTCTCTTATAATGCGGGAAATACTGAAGAATGGGTGGGCGAGCTGTGCCAGCAGCTTCCTTCGCATGAGTACAGACCATGCACTGCTTGTAACCAGAATGCACCGGGGCAGCCCCTTTGTCCTGGACACTTCTCAGGGGTCACCTGCCTCTCCCAGTGCTCCCACAGTTCCCTCCCCCACACCTCTCACAGCACTGACTACGCTGTGCTGTAACGGTAATTCTTGCTTTACCTACGCACTCCACCAGACTGTGAGTTCCCTGAGGGAGGAAATTTCTCTGTATGAATTCAGTTGCTGAATGAGATATATAAGGAGTTGTCTGGTTAAATATTTACCAAAATTAAGATAATAAATTGTAGTTTGGGTTTATAGTATTAGCTACTGGTCTAATAGGGTTTTAGCTCCTCTCAGATTGAGACCTATAGAAGGTGTACAATGGTCAGGCACGCCATGTTAATAAGATTAGGGAGAAAACAGTAAGAACAATGACAACAGCTAGCATAAATCTATTTTTAAACTGGTCCTCAAGGATATAATTTTGGTAATCACCATCACTTTAATAGATAAGCTTATAAAATATACATTAAAAAAGTATTCTGAGACATGATCAAATCAGAATAATTACCTTTGAATTGCATTTATTCTCTCTTCATCATTTCCTTGATCCATTACACAGACCCAGTGATCATAGAGATCCGAGGAGAAAATACTTCTGGGAATATTTCGTAGAAAATCCTAACAGAGAGGGAAAAAATAAATATTTTAAATCATTGTCGTGCTAAACATGTACTGGAGAAAGTATAAAACATTCTGCTGAAAAGTTCAGTTAAGTCTCCCCTTCTCTGGAATATACAGATCTCTGTACAAACTCCCCGCTAATGTGCACATGTAGAAACATGTTTTTATTTTTTTCCTAACAAAAATAAGAGAAATAGCTGGAATCTGGGTAAAGTGGGAAAGGTGGAAGACAACCTTTTTGGGCTGAAAGCCCCTGTCTATGTACATTTTAGCAAACTGGCACTATGTGCAGGGCTTGGCAAATCTGCCTGAATCCCCCTTCCCTACTATCAAATCACTAGTTAAAAGAAATGCACAAAGATATTTGTGAGGTTTATAGTGTTATGATCAGTTATCCAATCATGCTGTACATATTTACTCATATGTGCCAGGCACCCCTTGAGGGGCTAGGGACAGATCCATGAATAAAACAAAGTCCCTGTTATTCTCAAACTTTATATTCCAGTGGTATTTGTGAACAGTTCCATCTAGAGCTAGAGTTTCTCCCTGTTATTCTCCATAGAAGGGCCCTCATTATTTGGGGAGAGAAAGCATTCCAGACAATGGCTGGGCTCTGGGAGCTTGGGGAAGCACCCCAATGCCTAATGTACATGAAATCATAGGTCCCCAGCACATTATCCCTTTTGGCCTTCCAGACCCTATTCTGCTGAGATCACTGCTGAGACTGGGTAGTAGTCATTACTGAACTGTTGAAACCACTGCTGGGGCTGGGTGAAACCAGACTATAACAAAAGCAGTATATGGCCAAGGGTGTTTGTTGTTTGACCTTTGTTTGTAAAAAGCTTAAAAATAAACTAAATTTGGTTCTGGTCCTATGTTCATTTCTGTTCTAAGCCAACTCTTTCTGTTGCTTTTGGCTTGGTATTTGCAAGGTTAAGCTTGCAAAGTCTGATCTCTACCTCAGTAAACTTTAGGCAGGGAAAACTCAAGTTCACGTCTAAGCACTGTACCCATGGTTGGCTATTATTTTGCAAGTTCCTGCTTATAACCTAGAGATCGGTGAAAGTTGCAATTGAGCAATTTAAATATTGCTGGGAAACCAAATCAGCAATTTTACCTACGTGTTTTATGAAAGGTCCACAACTTGTTATTTATATGTCATGTTTATACTACTGATATGAAAGCTGTGATATCTTATTATTACAGTTAGCTTATTACACGTGTGTATCTGCCCTACTAGCGTATGAGCTCCTCCAGGGCAGCGGTGGGCCCTCACTCACTACTTGTACACTTCAGTGCCATGCACAGTCCCAGACATAGTAGTGGTCATTACTCAACTGTTGCTGTTTGTCATATGGACAATTATTAATGAGGGACAGGGGAAGGCCAACTAACTATAATTGAGATTCTAAGATAATTTTAAAAGTCTCTTTGTAATCACGTCCCCTATCACAATACAAAAATTTTTAAGAGTGGTTAACAAGTAGACAGATGACTGATTCTTCCTGTTCTATTATATCTTCCAGTAGAAATGTACCTGGATACTTGTGATTCAGATGTGTCTTTTTTTTTTTTTTTTTTTGGTATGTGTCCCTAGCTAGAACCGAACCCGGGACTCTCTGGTCTGCAGGCCGATGCTCAACTGCTGAGCCAAACTGGCCAGGGCCAGATGTGTCTTTACAAAGGTTACCACTTTTTGGGTAAAGCTATTGCATTTCCATAATTCCAAAGTAATTTTAGTTGCTGCACCTACTTTAAAAGTCAGATTTCAAAGAGGCAAAATCTGTTATTTCAAGTGGGGCAGTGACAATAGCTCTCTTTTTAAATCTCAGTGGAAAACAGACTCGATCTGTCTTGAAGAAAAACATCATTAAATTTTAAACCTACACTGGAAAGATAATAGGTCGTAACATCGCAGTGAACTCCCCACAGCTGGAATAACACGTCATGAAATGCAACCACCATCACAGCGGAGAAAGGGTATGAGCACTGGTTCTGAATGACAATCACCAACTCACAGCTCTCAGCCCAAAGTCTTCTGCCCTCCAAAACCAGAGCCCAGGAGCAGAGCTACCAAGTTCATTTGAGATGAGAACCCTGTAGGATTAAAAATGAACTTTCCCTCAAAGGTCTGATGGAGCAAAGTTAGTGTCTGAAGCAATTTACTTTCAATTATAGTTTGAATAGTTGAGCTTATATTTAAGCAAAACCAGCATAAGTAAAAAACGGAAGGAAAACTAAGGTACCACTTCCAAATAGTCTTAAAAATAAGAAACAAAACAAAAATTCAAAAACCTTTGTCAAGAAGTATGTCTTTTTCTGCAACCACTTGGAATAAATGAGAGTAAAATATGGTTACATGACTATAAAACTACAACTACTTGCAACCTATTTAACCAGACTTTTCAATCATTTGGATGAGTTTTTGTCTTTTGCTTATTTTGTGCAAGTAATATTTCTGCAATTTGAAATACAACCAAACTCTTCTAGAATTACAATTTTTTGTAATAACCTCAATAATTTACCACATTTTAAGTGTGGTGCTATGAAAAGCATAGAAAGGAAAATGCTCTAAAACACAGGCTTCAGCTTCCTAAATTAAAAGATGAGAGAAAGTCTAAGTATATGATTTAAAAAGGAAAATTCACTGTGTGTGTGTGTATCCATCCCTAACATGCATCTGTCTGAGCATACCATACATGTCTTTATTGTATTACAGGACTGAAGATAAGCATAAACCCTCGCTCCAGCTCTTCAGTTCTTTTGAGTGATCTTTACTGCACAGGCCTAGCAGGGGTTAAGAGCAGACATGCCCCATTTACCAAGAAACATCTGATCGTGCATTAGGTCATGAAGCAAGATTCTGTAAACAGTTGACCACCTAGCAGGAGTATGGGTATATAAGGGTCTTCACCATGTTTTCCTTAATTTGTTGTGCATGCTCCATGCCCTAGGGTACAGGCTGGGGCCTTGTCTCTGCCCCTGCTGGGAGATGGAAGCTTGAGGAAGGCCTGTAGAAGTGAAAAGCTCTGCTAAAAGCTGGTTTTGACTCTACATTATCCAAAAATGTGAGGCATTTTCAAGAATGTGGGAGGAACACATTTTACAAGCGCTCTAACCCAACTGTGGCTGTGACTTAAGGAGCCACGGGTGAGGGTAAGAACCATAATGAACGTCAAGTGTGGGAAGGGTTTTTATAAAAGGAGGCCCAGACTCAGGAGTCAATCCTGTCCCACTTTTACTGTGAGGCATCAGGGACAAGGGAAGGTCTGGATGAACGAATGGACCTTCCAGTGGTCTTAGAGAGCCATTTTGTTAGGCAAATGTTTATTTGTTATGGTAAAGTTCTGTTTCAAAGTTTAATAAAGTTTATTTTAGAAAAATTTGCCTTTATTAGGAAGGAAGTGAGATTGTGAGGAAGTCATCATAATTAGGATGTTTGTTTTGGTAAATGTGCTGTGTGTGTTTTGACTATTTTTAATTTAACTTAATTAAAAAAATTTCTGCATGAGGTAGCAGAGTGAAGCTGGGGAGAGTGGTGTGGGATAGAAAAAATTTAAAAAGTATGTCTGACATGCCATATCATTGGGCGTGGCCTTTAAAGGACAATCTTACTTTGTGAAGTGTTCTGAATACATTTTAGATTCTAATTTATTATGGTTCTTTGCAGATGGGAATAATGTTATAAGGAAAGAAAACAGCTGTCTTTCTCCAGAGCCGTACCATGAGGTAGATGGAGGGGGACTTTCCTACCTTTAGAACAGATGCTATCACAAAAATAGATTCACAGTCTAGGTGCACTTCAAGCCCAGCATTCAGTTTCTCTTTCAGCTCTCTGCAAGATTTCACATTGGCTGACTGTCTGAAGATGCCTTTAGTGAGGGGTCCTTTTTGATTAAGAAAAAGAAGCATATCCTATGGGGAAGCAAAGAAAAACAATGGCACTTTACACATTCCAGCAATCCCTCGGCTGCCAGTGCTGGGGACAGGGGGAGGCACCGAAGGATGCCGGACGGGGCTGGACAGACTGCCGGAAGAATTAAAGTTCATTTCCTTTGGTATCTCTAAATCTCTTTTATTCTATTTCTTCAACATCTGAGGAACATTTTACTTGAAACACTTGCCTGTCTTGTTTCAATGAATTAGCAGCCACTTTAAACTCAAATTTCTCTGACTGCTTCAAAGTCCCTGCTAACAGGTCTTTCTTCTATCTCACTCCTCTCCTCCATTATTCTCCAATGCAAACTCTTTCCCCCAATATAAAATATTATTGTCAAACTCATTCTCCACTTGCTTGTCCTTCTTTTTATACATCTTCATATGTCATTCTACTTCCTGTATTGACTTCCTTTTTTTAAATTAGGCTACAGCTATCTGCCCCAGGAAGCTTTCTCCATCCCATTCCATTCTGATCTGGCTTTCATTTTGCATTCTTTCAAGCTGTACGTCCTCTGCTCTCAGTGTAGGAAAAGAATGGGTGTTGGAGACAAGCAACCCATGGGACTTGAAACCTAGCCATAGCACATATTTACTGTGTGATCTTGGATAAACGTGAGGCTTTTAAGATAAAATTGTAAAGTAGGGATGGTGATGATGATGATAACTATCCCCTAACTCTGCTGTGTAGGGGAAGCAATAAAGTGGCAAGGCCAGTGTCTGGCACTAACAGATACACAATATAGCACAAAGTGCATACATCTAGTATAGTACTTAGAGGATACTGGATACTCAATACATGCTGTTTAACGGTGATCATTTACTGAAACAACTGGAGACAAGACAAATGCAGTGGTTTTCATCTGACCCATTCTATATAAGAAAGATACCTACATGCTAGAGGATGTATCCTTATGCATAAATACTTGAAATACAAATACAACACATGCAAGATTTTTAAAAAGTATATGATTGAGTAGTCTCTGCTGCAAAGTGATTAAAGGGGATTTTCAGAACAATGTAGAATTCAAGAAAGGAAGTGAGAGAAACGTGAGGGATGATGTGAATTCTCTGTCTACCAAGCATAGTCCAATGGATCTGAGCAGGCCCAATGTGGCTCTTTCCTGAGATGAGTAGTGTAGGTGATCTTTTCCTATTATGTCTAGCTTACGACTCTGCAATAGCTTAATAAGACTTTTATTCTTTGAAATAATAATAAAGATTCTCAGCCAATGCTATGGGTGTCTATAACATTTCCATTAGGATATAGATTTGCCTCCCAGAGGTCTCTCCTTCCCCAAACCTCCTTTCCCATTGGGGTTACAGGCCAGAAGGAGACTTACCAAGACAGGTTTGGGCAGATTGTCATTCTCACAGATAATTGGCAGAGACACTCCAAAGAGCTGTCCTGGCACAGGAGAGGTTGGCGACATGGGCAAGGTATCCAGGTGAGTGCCAGAACCCCGCCAAAAGGCCCAACTGATGATAGATCTTCTCCTTTTAAATGTCTTCTGACCCGAATCTAAGGAAGAAGTGAAGTAGAAAAACTAGTTTAATTCACTTACCCATATTTCTACAGTTTCTATTTCACATTATGTTCAGTACTTATGGCTCAAAGAGAAAAGTGCTTATAGGTGTCCTTTGTTACTGTTAATTCAATGTATAAAATTTCATTATAAAATTTTATAAATTAAGAAAAAATCAAGTGTTTGGGTTATTCTCCTACCTGTTTTTGGAACATCGCTGGGTTAATTACATGAGTTTTGGCACTGAATTCTGACAGGTGAAAGGGTCCTTTACTGAACTGTAACAGCTTAAAGCATATATATTGTCCCATTTTAAAGATGAGACTAGGCATACAAAATGGTTAAGATTAAATCAGACCACAATTAAATAGATTTAAAAAAAAGAAAAAAAGAAAAAAGAGGAGGAGCCTTGGCCGGATTGGCTCAGCGGTTAGAGCACTGGCCCTCAGACCAAAGAGTCATGGGTTCCATTCCGTTCAAGGGCACGTACCTTGGTTGCCGTTTGGTGCCCCGCCCTGATCAGGGTCGTGTGGGGGGCAACGAATTGATGTTTCTCTCTCAGATTGATGTTTGTCTCTCTCTCTCTCTCTCCCCCTCACATTCTGTCTGAAGATTAATGTAAAAATGTCCTCGGGTGAGGATCAAAAAAAAAAAGAGGGGGAGAAGAGGGGGAGAGGCGGGGAAGATGAGGGGAAGGAGGATGGATAGGAGGAGCGGGAGGAGGAGGAGACTTGTCTCTATTAAGATGTCCTCTTGAAACAAAGAATGCTCTGTTACTCGATGTCCCACTCTACCACTGAGACAGGAAGTGAATGTTCTACACATCCCCCTTTCTTTCCAGCTGCAAAGACTTGCAGGTATCTTTCGGTTCCCAACTTAAAAAAGCCTTAAGGCAGCATGAATGGTTGCAAACATGAGTGAGACTTGCCCCTGCCATGGTGCAATTTGTAATCTAGTGGGAAACAAGACAGGTGGTAGGGAGAAGCAGCAAGTATGTTAATAAATACAATGTCCTATAGGAGGAACGAAGTACCACAGGCATTTGGAAGACTGATAATGCATATCTACCCACTGGGCAGGAGGCTGTGATGTTCAACTGAACATTCAGCATTGTGTCTCACATTTAATGAGTAAGCATTCACCAAATAATTCTTGAACAATAACTGAATTAAGGAGAAATTTAGGTGGAAAAGGTAAAAAGACAACAGGAACAAAACAGGCAGAAGTAACAGAGGTCAACTGTGAATCATGATTTTGTGATATCATTGTGCTAAAACATTTTCTTTTTTTGTTTGTTAATCCTCACTGGAGGGTATTTTTTCAATTGATTTTTAGAGAGAGTAGTAGGAAGGGGAGAGGGAGAGAGAGTGGGGAAGAGAGAGAGAAACATCGATGTGAGAGAGACACATCGATTAGTTGCCTCCTGCATGACCCTGACCAGGACCAGGGATGGAACCTGCAACCCAGGTATGTGCCCCTTACCTGGTAATCCAATCTGTGACGCTCTGATCACAGAGCACGTGGGCCAGGGCAGTGCTAAAACATTTTTGATGTCCTCTGTCTCTAATTTTAACATGAAAATTGATGGATTTGAATAGGATTTGATATCTAAAAAGACAACTCCTTAAGGATCCTTTCGGACCTCTCTGCCACCCTCCCTTGTCCAACGGCCTCAACACCTACACAGATACCAACTCTAGACAAAATAAAAAGGCTTATCTGAAGGCACTAAAGAGGAATCAAAAGAAGGGAAATACTTGAGATAAAAATTTGACACTTGGAAGAAGGGAATGGCACAGCACTGGGCTTTTAGCCCTAAGTCAAGCCCCAGCACCATGGGGGTCACTAAAATTTGAAGAGAAACTGGAGAATGGAGAACTGGAGAATGGAGGTAGTGGTAACCACAGCAGCTGGAAATGCTACAAGGAGAAAACTAAATAGTGGAGCCCCAAATGCTATGTATAAATTCTGCCCGAATCTCTGCAGACCCCTGAAGCACCCATGTGTGGGGCAGATTCAAAACAACATGTAGTTAAGGCTAACTGACTGCAATTTGAGGAGCCATTCCCGAGGTGCCATCCACACAGGGGCTGACTCCGTTTTCTCCAGGGAGAGAGCATGGTGGCTGGGCACTGGCCTCTGGCTGTGGGCACTGACAGCCGCACAGGCTGCCAGAGTCCATGTTTAACTGCTCACATTCTCTGACGGGAACACTGAAGGAGATGATCTTCTCAGGGAGGCCATGGTCAGCAGTGTCAAATGCTCATTTCAAAGAAATGTTTTATTTCCTCAGAATGACCAAATTAAACCAAATACTAAAAAACGCCAAGTTGTGGGAGAATAAACAAATAAGTGACATTTTACTGGTACTCCATACCACCATCAACACTTGGTTTCCTCAGGACACATCTGTGCATCATCAATGTGCACACACCCAAGTATAAAGGTATCTGGTTCTACAGTCAGGAGCCCAGTGACATGAACTTGGGTAAGTTACTTAACCTTTCAAAACTGAGAATGATATTACCTACCTCTCCCAAGGTTTATCGAGAGGGTTAAGTAGCATAATGCATGAAAAGTACTACTTTGTCCAGGGGATGAGTCAAAGTGATCTTGATTAAAGCTATTAAGACACTAATCTCCTCCCCACAAAGAAGACCTTCTCCCCACATCCACTCTCCATCTGGCCCAACAGCCTTTGGAAGTATGCAGGCAGGCAGGAACACCAGATTCTGCTTAACTATACTACTTTCTTCCTGCCCTGACATTCCCAAACAATACCATTTTGAAAAAACAGAAAAGGAAACTAAACCCATTCTTAAATTCGGGAGGGAGTTCCATTGTCTAGCAATTTCAGTTTGTGCAAATGTTTAATATGTATGTCTGTATATGTTGAGTAGTTGTACCGAATGTAGTTTCCTCACATTTGACCTGGTTTCGTCATTTGTAAAATTATCAGATTTATTTGATTTTTTTTAGCTTTCACAAATTCTTAGGAAGAATGCTTTATTATGAAGTTAACATACCCAGCTATCCTATGGGTGTAGAAGAGGATAAAGTAGAAATTGAGGCCTGTACTGTACTATAAATAGTTTCGGCTGCAGCCATGCCTTTCGTTCTGTACAACATTCAAGTTTAGACTTCATGTTCCCTCTGGGGCAGAGAGGAAAAAAAATCATGAGAGTTTACTTTCCTGAATAGCTTTTAATGCATAGCTCTTACTTTCTGAATGCCAAAGGCTGATGAATATCATGCTGTTGCTATTAAAAATATAAGGGTGATGTAAATGTAGCACAAACTAACTTCGTTAACTCCAGCTTTCCTAAACAATCCTGGCAAGTTTTCCGCTAGTTCTTCACGCTTCTGTTAGGGGACTGAATACTAAACATCACAATTCTGAAAAGTTTGTGCTTATAGAATAATAATAATCACAACAACAAAACCTTAATTAAAAATTCTATTCCAGTCAAGTAACTCTCCAAATTAAAAATAACCCCTGCCCCTGCAGTATGAAATATGCATGGGAGAATACTCAAATGATACGGCAAACAGGTAGAAGAAAAAGTTGCATGCCATATTTTACCATCTACCATAAAAATTCAGTTCCATGAATCCTGGGTCTGAAGCCTGCGTGGCAGGTGAACCTGCCGTGCAGAAGAGGGAGTTCCGTTCAACCTGAAACCTCAGGAGCTACTTCACACTGTTCTCAGGAAGATCCCACTTCAACCCCAGAATTCTGCTCCACTTGTTGTGTCATAATAGGAGTGACTAAGCCACTCCATCATCCATGTAAGTTCTCTATTCCATATACTGGATTAAGTCTGCTATAAGTTCCCAGGCCTTAAGCAAGCTTAAGCAAGTCTAATGAGACATGTAAACAAATCATCATAATGTAATTTTTAAGTTACACTAGAGATGTGGAAACTGTTCTAGAGACACACTGAAGTAAAAAAGATCTCCTGGAAGTGATATTTGAATTGGGTCTTGAAGTCAGATTTTTAAAAAATTATTATTTTTATTAATTTATTTTTGTTACAGATGATTCTCCTTCCCCCTCCCATTGACACCGTCCTCCCCATTCCCCCCCCCCCATCCCCAGCTTTGTTGTCTATGTCCATGGTTATGCATACATGCATATAAGTTCTGTGGTTTATCTCTTCCCTCTCCCTCACACACTCTTCTGAGGTTGGTAAGTCTGTACCCTACTTTTATGTCTCTGGGTCTATTTTGTTCATCAGTTTGTTTTGTTCATTATATTGCACAAATAAGTGGGATCATGTGATATTTGTCTTTTTCTCTGCTTGGCTTGTTTTGCTTAGGATAATACCCTCCAGGTCCCTCCATGTCGTCTCAAAGGATAAGAGATCTTTCTTTCTTACAGTTGCATAGTACTCCATTGTGTATATGTACCACTGCTTTTTTATCCATTTGTCTACTGATGGATACTTGGGCTGTTTCCAGATCTTAGCTATTTTAAATAGTGCTGTTATGAACATGGGGGTACATATATTCTTTCTGATTGGTGTTTCAGGCTTCTTAGGGTATATTCCTAGAAGTGGGAGCACTGGGTCAAATGGCAATTCAATTTTTAACTTTTTGAGGTAATATTGTACTGTTTTCCACAGTGGCTACACCAGTCTGCATTCCCACCAGCAGTGTACTAGAGTCCCCTTTTCTCCACACCCTCGCCAGCTCTTGTTGTTTGATGATTTGTTAATGGCGGCCATTCTGACAGGTGTGAGGTGATACCTCATAGTTGTTTTAATTTGCATCTCTCTGATGATTAGTGATGTTGAGCATTTTTTCATATGTCTCTTGGCCATTTGTATGTCTTGTTTGGAGAGGTATCTCTTTAGGTCCTCTGCCCATTTTTAATTGGGTTGTCTCCCTTTTGTTGAGTTGCATGAGTACTCTATATATTTTGGAAATTAACCTCTTATCTGATGTATCATTGCCAATTATGGTCTCCCATATAGTGGGCTCCCTTTCCATTCTGACGGCTGTTTCTTTTGCTGCGCAGAAGCTTTTTAGTTTGATGTAGTCCCATGTGTTCATGTTTTCCTTTGTTTCTCTTGCCTTAGGTGTTGTATCAGTAAAAATTCTGCTGTGTATGATGTCTGAATGCTGCATGTGATGTCTGAAATTTTGTTGCCGACATTTTCTTCTAGGATTTTTATGGATTCATGAGTCACATTAAATTCTTTTATCCATTTGGAGTTTATTCTTGTGTATGGTGTAAGTTGGTGGTCTAGCTTCACTTTTTTGCATGTTGCCGTCAATTATCCCAACACCATTTATTGAAGAGGCTGTCTTGACTCCACTGTATACTCTTTGAGGTCAGATCTTTAATGTTTATATCCTGAACCCTCAAATAACAGTAGGTGTGTTTCACTGGGGACCAGCCACCCTTAGGCTGAGTGACAGTGATCTAAGTCACAGGAGTAGCCTTCTGAGAGATCTATTGCTACTCTGTTTTCAGTATGATACCACAGTATTTAGATTCTCCCCACACTGAGGCAAAATTTGAAAAACAGATTGGAGATGACTATGCTCACCTACGGTTATTTTGGATAACGGAAATATTTTCCATAAGCTAACTACAGAAAGCTTCCTTCAGAAATGGAGATACAAAGTTATGTCTTTATTCTAGTTGTGGGAGATGTCTGAGATTTCACTGTCTATGTTTTCTTCTAGGATTTTTATGGTTTGAGTCTAGCATTTAAGTCTTTAATCCACTTTTAGTTTATTCTTATATATGGTGTAAGAAGTTGAACCAGTTTAATTTTGTTTGCATGTACCTGTCCAATTTTCCCAACACATTTATTGAAAAGACTGTCTTTACTCCATTGTATGCTCTTGCCTCCTTTGTCAGATATTAATTGACCATAGGGTTGATTTCTGGGCTCTCTGTTCTGTCCCACTGATCTATATGCCTGTTCTTCTTCTGTTTATTTATTTATTCATTCATTCATTCATTCCTCACCTGAGGGCACTTTTCCATTTTTTTGTTCAGATAGAGTGAGAGGGAGAAAGAGGAAGAGAGAAAGAGAGAGAGAGAGACAGAGAGAGACAGAGAGAGAGACAGAGAAAGAAACATCGATGTGAAAGGGACACATCGAGTGGCTGCCACCCACATGATCAACCAGGGCCGGGGACAAACTGCAACCGAGGTACGTGCCCTTAGTGGGAACTGAACCTGGGTCTCCCTGGACCACCAGCTGATGCTCTAACCACTGAGAAAAACCGGACAGGGCTGTTCTTCTTTTTAAAATTAATTTTTATTGTTGAAAGTATGACAGACATCCCCTATTTTTCCCCCATTGAACCCTCCTTCCCACTCTCACCCATTTATACCTTCACCACACTATTGTCTATGTCCATTGGTTATGCATATATGCATAAAAGTTCTTTGGTTAATCTCTTCCTACCTCCCTACCCCCGCCTTCCTTCTGAGATTTGTCAGTCTGTGCCATTCTTCCATGTCTCTAGATCTATTTTGTTCTTCCATTAAATTTGTTCATTAGATTCCACTTATAAGTGAGATCATGTGATAAACTTGTTTTTCTCTGACTGGCTTATTTCACTTAGCATAATACTCTCCAAGTCCTCCATGCTTTCTCAAAGGGTAAGAGACCCTTCTTTTTTACAGCTGCATAGTATTCCATTGTGTAAATATACCACAGCTTTGGCTTGTTTTTATGCCAGTATCAAGCTGTTTTGATTACAATGGCCTTGTTGTATAGTTTGATATCTGGTATTGTGATACCTCCAACTTTGTTCTTTCTCAAGATTGCTGAGGCTATTCAGAATCTTTTTGGTTCCACGTAAACTTTTGGAATATTTGTTCTAGATCATGAAATATGTTATTGCTGTTTTAATAGAAATTGTGTTTAATCTATAGATTGCTTTGGGTGGTATGTATATTTTAATGATGTTAATTCTTTCAGTCCATGAACACAGTATAAGTTTCCACTTGTTTGTATTTTCCTCTGTTTCTTTCTTCAATGTCCTATAGTTTTCCAAGTACAGGTCTTTTACCTCCTTGTTTAAATTTATTACTAGGTATCTTATTATTTTTTTGTTGCAATAATAAATAAGATTATTTTCTTAGTTTCTCTTTCTAATATTTCATTATTGGTGTATGAGAATGACATTGGTTTCTGGATATTAATTTTGTATCCTACTTTGCCAAATTCATTTGTTAGATCTAGTAAGTTTTTGGTGAAGTCTTTAGGGTTTTATATGTACAATATCATACCATGTCATCGGTGAATAATGACAGTTTTATTTCCTCCTTTCCAACTGGGATGGCTTTTATTTTCTTCTTCTTGTCTGATCACTGTGGCTAGGACTTCCAGTACTATGTTGAATAAGAGTGGTGAAAGTGGATATCCCTGTCTTGTTCCTGATCCTAAGAGATGTGCTTTTAGTTTTTGCCCACTGAGTATGATATTGGCTGTAGGTTTTTCATGTGTGGCCTCTATTATGTTGAGATATGATCCCTCTACTCCCATTTTGCTGAGATTTTTTAAAATCATAAATGGGTACTGTACTTTATCAAATGCTTTTTCTGCATCTATTGATATAACCATGTGAGTTTTATCCTTCATTTTGTTTAGGTAATGTATCACATTTATTGATTTGAGAATATTGTACCAATCTTCATCCTTGGAATAAATTCCACTTGATCATGGTATATGATCTTTCTAATGCATTACTGGATCCAATTTGCTAATATTTTGTTGAGGATTTTAGTATCTATGTTCATCAGGGATATTGGGTTATAATTTTCTTTCTTTGTAGTGTCTTTATCTGGTGTTGAAATTAGGATAATGCTGAAAAATGCTCAACATCACTAATCATCAAGAGATGCAAATTAAAACTATGATGACATATCACCTCATATATGCCAGAATGGCTTACCAGCAACAAATCAACAAACAACCAGTGCTGGTGAGGATGTGGAGAAAAGGGAACCCTAGTGCACTGTTGGTGGGAATGCAGACTGGTGCAGCCACTGTGGAAAACAGTATGGAGTTTCCTCAAAAAATTAAAAAATGGAACTGTCTTTTAATCCAGTGATCCAACTTCTGGGAATATATCTTAAGAATCCTGAAACACCATTCAGAAAGAATATATGCACCCCTATGTTCATAGCAGCGTTATATATAATAGCCAAGATCTGGAAACAGCCCAAGTGCCCATGAGCAGATGAGTAGATAAAAAGGCTGTGGTACATTTACACAAAGGAATATCATGCAGCTGTAAAAAAGAAGGAGCTCTTACCTTTTGCAACAGTATGGGTGGACCTTATGCTAAGTGAAACAAGCCAGAGAAAGCCAATACCATATGATCTTACTTATATGTGTAATCTAATGAACAAAAAAATTGACAAACAAAATAGAACCAGAGACATGGATACATGAAACAGACTGACAGCTGTCAGAGGGGAGTGGTGTTGGGGGAAGAGATAAAAGAAGGTAAAGAGATTAGCCAAAGAACATATATGCATAGTCCTTGCACACAGACAACAGTGTGGTCAGAGGGAAGGGGGAGGTGAGGGCTAGGTGGAGGTGGGCAAAGGAGGGGATAATGGGGGATATCTGCACTAGAGTCAACAATAAAAATAAAGTTAAAAAAAGATTAAGTTGGATGTTCGTGTGTGGGTAGGTGTATATAAAATAGCTGCCATCGTTCACTGGGTTCCCCAGTTAGTACGAAAGGCAGCTACATGAATTCAGCATCAATTTTCTGCTATCTCACTCACACTTTTTAATATCCTTTTTCTTCTGTTTCTTATACAATCTTACTTTCAGACTGAGGGCTTAAAGTTCAAACTTGGGTTAGGTAAATGATGGTCCTGCTATGCTGAATATCATTTTATCATTCTTTTTGTTGTTGTTGTTAATTCTCACCCAAGGATATTTTCCCATTGATTTTAGATAGAGTGGAAGGGAGGATGGGAGAAAGAGAGAGAGAGAATCATTGATGTGAGAGAGAGATATGAATTGGCTGCCTCTTGCACAACCCCAACCAGGGTCGAGGATTGAACCCGCAACCCAGGTATGCGCCCTTGACTGGGAATCGAATCCACAACCCTTCAGTCCATGGGTCGACACTCTAACCATTGAGCAAAACTGGCCAGGGTTCACTTTATCATTCTTTATTATGGGGTGGGTAAGAGATGGCTCTGTGACAAGGAATTCAGATTAGATTAGTAGACTAAGGAGAGATTTCTGTGGAAATCATCTTAGTCTCCCATACTTATCAGTACCAGGATCCATGTAGGGCATCACAGTCTCCTGACACCCATCTCTGAAAGCCTCCTTTTTAGCCCTGGCCAGTTTGGCTCAGCGGTTAGAGCGTTGGTATGCGGTCCAGAGAGACCCGGGTTCGGTTCCCGCTAAGGGCATGTGCCTTGTTCACGTCGATGTTTCTCTCTCTCTCCCTCTTTCCCTCCCACTCTAGCTGAACAAAAAATGGAAAAATGTCCTCGGGTGAGGATAAAAAAATAAAAAAAAGAAAGTTTCCTTTTTATAATAAGACTATTTAGGGGGAACACACAGCACAATGTGTTCCAGTACAAAGAAGGCATTGAGGCACCTGCAGCACTGCCTGTGCCTCCGACTCTGCAGTGGGCATAAGGTGAAAGGGGAAAGAATAGTGATGACGGAAGGGACAGACTAAACTGCTGATTCTAAGTTAGTTACACCTACTGCTGATTTATAAAACTATCTTCAAAACCTTCCTTTCAAAACACTTAACAAATATGAATGAAGAAATACCTCATGTGGCTGGAAGTCTGGGTCTTTGTCTTTGTACAAACTTTGCTTTCAGGAATAAGAACTTTTGCTAAAATAAGGCACTATGAAGAAAGAGAAGCCACTCACCACTCAGCTGCGGGGCCACAGCCAGGCGGCTGGGCTTCAGAGTGAACTGGCACTGCATCTCCCGGGGAAGCTGCTCCATGAGGAAGGGCTCCTGGAGGTTGGAAGGGCTGGTGGAGTCCTCTGGTTCCTGTGTCAGGAGCGCAGTATCTCGAAGGTGGCTCATTTTAATTCCATAGGGATATTCGTGCCCTACACAAAGACAGGTCTAAATGTAGACTATGGACTGTCTAGTACTGTGAGCATGTGTGGTACATACTGGAATGTACTGCAGTTTGCTCCTCAGACTTCTGGTATAAAGAATCTTTTTGTTGACTGAATGATCACCATGCATACTCTTATAGTTGGACACCAGCACATAATTCAGGTGGTCTTACCAGAGTAGTTTTAAGGGGGTGTGGGAGAGGGGAAAAAGCCAATTGTTAAAGAATATCTTATTTGGAATGCACAGATTGGTGTGTGAGTTGCACAATGTTGGTGTCTCCTGTGTTCACATCTAAGAATATTTAAAGGCATTGCAGTTTTTCTGTTGATATTAACTATATCTATGAATCTTCAGCAAACCCTTGACCTCTCTCAGCCTCAAATCCATGACTTAAAATATTTGCCTTACTCATCACACAGTATTATGAGGATCAAATAAGTAAATATTAATGGCTACTATTACTTAAATAATAAGGGCACAGTACTATATATTTCAAGCATCACTCATTACTATTATTCAACACTAAATGTCTGTCTGAAAAAATACATTTCATTACTTTTTATTAGTTATATAATCAGTGTTACTCAAGAGCATCAGGACTAGTTTGTTTGACTTATGCTTTCCTCCCACTGCTGCTCTCTGGGATTGGTGTTCACAGGCAACAATCAGAAGGGACACTGCAGGGTATTAGAAACAGAAACAAGATGCAAAAAGGAATCTGTAAACTAGAAAAACTAAACCCTGTAGATCTGACTGGAGTTTTTGTTCTTTAACTCTAAAAGTAATTGCATTTTCTTAATTTAATCCTCAGGTACCACTGTGCTGTAGATTTAGTATTTTTTTTTAAGTACAGAAGTAAGTTCTCTTGTATTCAGTAAATTCTTCCTTTTCCTTTCTATCTGGCATAGACATACAATGTCAATGTTCCATTACTATCATGTACTCTAGGGATTAAGGCCAAAAAAAGAAAAGAGAGAGACTAAAACAAACTCAGATTATCAAAATAATAAGTAGCTAATTCACAACTGAAATGTACAGAGCACATTAAAATGTACAATGAAGAACTTTTGTTAAATAGCAATCATGTCCTTTTATAGCACAAGTTAGTGATAAAGCCTGAAGCTGTTTTAAGTCTGAAAATTACCATCTATATAGTTTTAATTAAATTAATATATTTAATTAAATTTTATTTTAGGTATTTATTTGATTTTTAAGCACAATATTGTTGCTCACTGACTTTTACAAAAATTATAACATTAAAAAAGAAGCAGGAGCCCTGGCCGGTTTGGCTCAGCGGTTGGCCTGCGGTCCAGAGAGACCCCGGTTAGGTTCCTGCTAAGGGCATGTACCTTGGTTGAGTTTATCCCCAGCCCTGGCTGGGTTGTGCGGGTGGCAGCCACTCAATGTGTCCTTTTCACGTCGATGTTTCTCTCTCTCTTTCCCTCTCTCTCCCTCACTCTATCTGAACAAAAAAATGGAAAAATGTCCTCGGGTGAGGATTAAAAAACAAAGAAGTAGGAAATGCAGTGAATTTTGTCCTCAGCTATGGGCATGATGGCTTGCTTTAAAGTCTGAGGATAATCTAAAATTTTTGTAGAAAAGTTTGGTTTCAGATTATTCAGTTCACTTGAAACATTCTGATTTACACAATAGTAACCTCAAGGATAAATGAAAAGATTACATGAGACAACGCAAAGGATATGTTTTAAACAATGCCTGGCAGAAAGTAAGCACTTAAAAATCAACAGAGATTGTTCTTGTCGTCGTCGTCGTCGTCGTCGTCGTCGTCGTCATCATCATCATCATCTCAAGATTTGTTACAGATAATATCTCTTACTTTGATTACTCAATTTGCTAACAACACTAAATGATCATCATCATCATCTTCATCTCAAGATTTGTTACAGATAATATCTCTTACTTTGATTACTCAATTTGCTAACAACACTAAATGACCTTAATTGATTAAAAAATATTTTTTAGTTAAATGATTTAAATAAGGTAAGATGAACCTATTTACAGTAATTCCTCAAAACAAATGCTGAAAAATTTGGCTAGAGAAATAGCAATGTAAGTATTAGCTAGTTGGTAAATAGTATTAGCTAGTTGGTAAATCAGTGAAGATTTTTTGGAATCTAAATGGATTAATCTACACTTTCCTTTATGATGTCTAGTAAAGTATTGTGAGATTAAGAGGCATGATTGGATTCTAGATGGTCTTCCATAGAGGCAACTTAATAAGTAGGAAAGGGAACAGAAAATTCAAGAGCCAAATATAAAAAATAAAAATATAGGAGAAAAGGAGTACCAATACATATTGCTTTCTTGTAGAAAAAAATTTTAAATTTTTGGCAAGATAGTGTTCTCTGTAAAGTATAAAAGAAGAGAGGAAAATGTACATTTCTCTTCCTAACGATACCATTAACTGCTTGAGTGAAGAGATATTTGTCTAGCACATAGAAAATACTAGACAGATATTTATTGAATGAATAAATGAATTTTATATGAGATTTAATAATTAATAGTATAATGCTTAGGACTATATGATGAGTTCCCTGAGATATTTAGAATTATAATTAAAACAAAATCAATCCTACCTTAGATCTTCACAGAAACTTACCAATAAGTGGATACGGTGCCTCTTCTTTGCCAGAATTGACCCATAACTGGTAATCTCTCTCAGAGCCCTTGGAAATAAAATAATTAACAATAACTCTTTTATGTTTGGTGATTGAATGAAGACACATTTTTTTTTTTTTTTTTGCATTTTTATGTTTTGCAACAAAAAATGGGAATAATATAAATACCTTCAGATTCATGGGAGTGGTTATAGTTTTTGAAGAAGACAATGCTGATTCCTACAACCCTTCTCCCCTCTCTCCAATCCCCAACAGAGTATTCAGGAAGCCTGCCCCTCTTTTCCTAGCGATGGCCTGGAATCCAAGAACTGCAATGGAATCAGAACCTCACTCTTACGGGTAGGCCCACGGAATGTGCAATCACAAAGAAAGAGAAACTTCCTGGTTTTCTAAAAGACTAATGTCTTCTTTAGAGTCATGACTTCTGCCATGTCTCCAGATTTCTCAGAGAATACTGGACTTAATCTCCAACATGCCCCTACAAAGATAATCTTGTTGTCCAGGAAGCCACAAACACTGTTGTGTCTGTGATGAAAAACAAAAAATCTCAAAGGCTATTACCCCAGCTGTTTCTGGGCAGACGAAGAATGACCAAGAGGCTTTGAGGAGACAGGTAGCTGGCACAGTCTACACTGGATTTGTTTTGGGCAAGCAAATTCAGTCCTGGGGACAGAAGAAACAAGAATTCTGTCTGGAAAATAGGCCCAGCGATGAAAAACAATGAAATTGTTTACTAGCAGAATTATAACCTAACTTCAAGGAAATAACACTAAGTGACACAAACTTTGCTATATTCCTCTAGGAGAGGAAAAAGCAAAAATGTTTTAAATAAAGCCAGAACAGATTGGCAAAATTAATATTCCTGCCTTTTTTTTTTTTTTATCCTCACCGGAGGACATTTTTCCATTTTTTGTTTAGGTAGAGTGGGAGGGAGAGAGAGGAACAGAGAGAGAGAGAGAGAGAGAAACATTGATGTGAAAGGAACACATCGAGTGGCTGCCACCCGCACAACCAACCAGGGCCGGGGACAAACCGCAACCAAGGTACGTGCCCTTAGCGGGAACCGAACCCGGATCTCTCAGGACCGCAGGCCGACGCTCTAACCGCTGAGCCAAACTGGCCAGGGCAATATTCCTGCCTTTATCTTCTGATTAAAAATGGCCCTGCCCTGGCCTGGTGGCTCAGTTGGTTGGAACATCATCCCATACCCCATGTTTGATTTCTGGTCGGGGCACATACCTAGGTTGGGGGTTCAATCCCTGGTTGGGGCACATATGGGAGGCAACTGATCCATGTTTCTCTCTCACATTGATGTTTCTCTCTCCCTTCCTCCCTCTCTAAATAAACTGATGAACAAAACAGATCCAGAGACATGGAATTAGGAAACAGACTGACAAACCTCAGAGGGAAGAGTGTTGGGAGGGAGGAAGAGATCAACCAAAAAACTTATATACATATATGCATAACCAATGGACACAGACAACAGTGCTATGAAGGCGGGGTGGGGGAAGCGAGAGCGAGGACAAGGGGGTCAATGGAGGAACATCTATACTTACAACAATAAATATAAATTAAAAGTGAAATAAAATAAAAAACACTCTTGGGTGAGGATTAAAAAAAAATCATGGTCTTGACTTTGTAATGAAGGGTAGCTTCCCTCCCCTCCGCTAGTCTATTTGTCATTTCCTTCCTCATCTCCTAGTCAAGAAATTTTATTGCAAATATGAAGAGAAATCTAATAAAAATCCTTTCTTTTTTTTGGCAGTATCTGAAAACTCTAATAATCTTTTAGAAATGTAAAAATTATTATACTAAATAGAATTATTTTTGGTCTGAGATGATGGATCACTTTACCCAAAGGAAAAGCATAAATAAGAAAATGAGTCATGTCTTAATCTCACCTTCCCTTTTAAAACCACTCTCTTCCAAGACTTAATTATTAAGCTTAGAAATCAATGTCAAGGTGCCTTCTTTACTCAATGCATATAAACTTAATGGGGAGAGGGGAGGTGGATGAGGCAATAGGGGGGTAAATGGTGATGGACAGAGACTTGACTTGGGGCAGTGAACACAAAACACAGCATACGAATAAAAAAAAAACTTAACTACATCTTAAATATATGATTAAATTTAATTAAAATAAACCAGATTTCTTATTTCAAGCTTGGCTATGCTGAGTTTTTAAAGGCTTACTATGACATTGTGTAAAAGCAAATATAAGTACAATTAATAAGCCTATGGTACATATTAACTATATGTCATATCATCTTGTAGTAACACTGTGTTCTCATAGAAAAGAATCTCACTCAAGGAATGGTGTGGGTCACATGGTTCCTTTAGTTTCCATTCTTCTGAAAGTCACTCCCTTTCATACAAGTACCCACTGTATAGTGTTTACATATTGGTAAGGAGGAGTTGAGGAGAAACTTTCCAATTCTCTTTCCCCTGCCTCATCCTCAAATATTCCAATCTTCTCCATTAATAAAATTTCAAAAGCTTGTCTTTGCCCCATAAACAGAAAAAAGCTAAAAGCAAAAAAGGGGAAAAGGGGAAATGTGGCGTACACACTAAAGCTCTTTAAATCTATGATGTAATTCAAAGCTTGTTTTTAATTTACTTGTTCATTAGAAGTACCAGCCATCCTATCCTCTGGACCTGCAGCCTGTGAATGTGTGTCCTTTATGTAAAAATTCTACCACATAGTAAATCCTTCAGAATTCTTCATCCTAAGACTTATTGAATCTTGGAATAAGAGTAATGAGATAAGGGAGAAGAACCAGGAGAGGATATGGGGAAAGAACAGTCATATAGTGACAAGTGGGAAAGAAAGAGGTTGAATCTTTCGAAGGCTCTTATACCAAAAACTCTCCAACTGCACATGTATATAGTATATGCACTATAATACATATTATTTTGTTAGCACTCTAGAATTAGTCTAATATTATGATTTTCAGTTTGCACAGGTTTTAAAATGGGAGAAGAGTAGCACCTCATCTTAAGCCAATATTAAGGCTTTACTCTCTTTATTTTCTATATTTTTGAGGACGAAGTATGATTTTTGTATCTCTAGCAGTCAGCTGTCTTATGATGGAAGGGATAATATTTACATGAATCTAAAGTATCAGAGTTTTTTAAATTAAGACTATCCAGCAGAGTGACTTACAGTTATCCCCAACAATGGTAGAGACATATTGATAACTTCATTCGCTGTATCTGAATTCGTTATTGTTATAGTTTTAGACTGCAGAAAAAAGAAATAAGAAATGCAGCTATAAAGGATTTTAAAACAGATGAACAAATAATTACTGTCAAATGATTATCTAAAGGCAAATCTTGATTTCAAGTGTTGACAGAGTAAAGCATTGTGACTTAATGAGAACACAAACCTTTGATTATAACTTATTTGTATTCTATTATACATTATGCTTTTAAGTAAAACATCTATCTCTCTTAAAATAAAGAATTTATGGTTCACAAGTCTAAGAATGTAAGCAAAAAAGAAACAGAGTAAATGTATTACAGAGAAAGCACATGGACCACCCTCTCAACCAAAAAGAAATCAGTGAGGTTGGCCCTCTGCATCATTTCCATAATTGTATTTCCATAATGCGATGTGTAATAAAACAAGGAGAGTGCTGGATCACTTTCTTTTTCTTCCTCAGTATTATTTTCATAGTGTGAGTTTATATTTTTTTACATGGTAAAATGTCAGTTTAGGTAAAATCAGAATAACTGGTTACTAAAGACATTTACAGTTTAGAATTTTTTAAAACCACTATTTATTGAGCACTTTCTATATGTGAGGCACTGTGGCTACTGAGATTTTCATTGCTGAAATCTGTCATGGCCTTAAAACCAAAGAGGGCTGAAATTTTAGAAAGCTCAATTCTGTGACCAAATCTGCCTTTGAATAGCATTATCTATAATAGCTTTGTGCTAAATGACATTGAGAAACTACTACTTAAAAACTGAAGGACAGTTTGCAATAAACAAAAGGGAGTAAAAAGATTCTGAGATAGTTATGGCTGTTCACCAAATTCTAAGACATTAAAACAATGTTATGCTATCAAAAAATAAATATTTACTATGCACATATGTTTTACATATTATAATTATCAGATAAATCAGGAATTAAGGCTGTGTCCCTGATGGGGCTTAAATGGCACAAATAATTACCATAAATGAAAATAAAATAATATATAATTAAAATGATATAAAAATAAAGCTAAGTGAAATCCATTGATAATTCATTACTTATCCCTCCATTATAGTATTTTTTCTTCAATGAACCACTTGACACGATAAATTGTCTCTTAAAGTTGTTTATTTATTTATTTCAAATTATGCTCCACATAGATCCAAGGATTATGCAAAAGTGTTTCAGAACTCAACAGAGATTGCTGAGAGCACCCAACAGTGTTTGTCTTTTACCAGAGTGGCAAAGATGTTTTATATACTGGGCTTTAACTTGATATATAATTTCATGAAAGACTTCTGCTTCTTTTTTTAACAAAAACTTGTAAATTCCTCGATTTAATTTAAAGAAACTCTTTCATGAAATGAGGAATCTATCCTATAATACTAATAATCACTCTCAAGGTGCCTAGTTTCTAAGAGAATTTTTCTTAATATTAGGCACATATGTTCAAAACAGTAATTATTGGATGCATATTTTTTTATGCATGCCTCTCTGGTAGACAGAACAAATGAATTTCATCAGATAGTGCTCTTTGGCTAGTAAACACATAAAACAGACAAAACTGAAAATGTGGCTATTTTTTCATATTAGCAGAATTCACTGACAGGTTATATAACTAAAGGCCAAGGATAAAGAATGCTTCCCATACATGCCCTCTTTTTCCGGGGAATCACTCTTTCTGGAAGCAGGGCTCCCTGAAAGGAGACTCTTGCCATGAAGCAGCTTCAGACAGCAGAGGAGAGTGTGTTGTGTTATCACTGATTTAACCAGGCTACTAGTGATGAAGACACAGCCCCCAACCACATCATGCGTCTTCTCTTCCAAATGAGAGTGGAACACCAGTCCTTTCTCAAGCACACAATTTCCATACACTGAAAGTGTTAAAAAAAAAGTTCAAGGGATTTTCCGTGAAAATCCTGAATGTAACCAATTATCACAACTGAATGAAAGCCAGCAGAAAAAGGGTGGTGTTTCCCACCCCCCTACTTTGCTACAGGAAAGCTCTGTAGTCTATACATAAAAATCTGAGTATGTCCCTCAAACAGTAACATCTGGCACTCATATCAGAACATTTGCATAACTTTCACTTTTGGCCCAAACACAACTGTTTGTATTACATATTTTTCCACACACAAAACTATTATGTGTGACCTAGGGCTGCTGTGAAGTAGGACAATTCATAGTAAAAATAAAAATATTCTCAAGTTCCCATTTTGTTCATCACTGATAATGTCTTGACACTTGTACTATATTTTAGTCATCAAATTACATGTACTAACTAGACTTAAGTAGACTTCATTTTTATTTGACCAATATGATAAAAATTTGTGATAGAAACATGCTGATCCCTTAAAAATGTCATCTCTCCCAGCTCATCCATTCATTAACCTGAGGGAATCAATACCCCTAAAAACTCAAAGAATGAAGAACTTTCCAGAAGTAGCAATCTACTTAAGAAGTGATTAAGTTGGAAAAAAATTCTTAATTCTAATAGGAAATATCTCCTAGTGGAAATGGCTTTCGTACAAGCCTCTACAGCTGCTATTGAAAGGATCCAGAGAAACTTTAATGCCAGAGGGAAGAAAGACATCTGACAAGCAATATTTCTTCCAAGTGTAAATGGTAAATACTGTAGTTAATATGAATTTCTCTTACTTCATTTTCTCTAGGGTTTACTTTTCATATATACGAAGGCATATTCGTACCCAGGAAAATGCATTTTGCCACAGTGGTATTTCTAAATAAATGCCTACCTTACATAGCACATACACAGTCTGTCTGCCTGCCTGCCTGCCTCTTTTTTTCACCCATGGTGTTCTGCCTTACGCAGGGACTTGGAATTTAATTTTCTGGCTTAGAAACACTTACATAGGCACAATTCCCAATGTCCTTGGCGAAGATTTTGAGGGGAATGCTCTTCGGATAGTCCTTCTCTTTCTCTAGAATGATGTATCTAATCAAATGCAACAACAACCCAAAACAACACTGAGTCAGATGGATTTTGCTAAATGACTTATTTTTAAATCAATCTATTTTGGTAATATTTTCAATATACTTATATGTTATCTTTAAAAAGACAGACAGAAAGACTCAGCAAAGTCAGATTACATTATGGGTTGGAAAGGAAAAATATTCTCAGGACATTAGGTATGGGCACAAAAAAGAATGGGAAATCCATTTCAAGTGTGAGGTTTGAGAAGCACAGTTAGGTTTAGGCACCTCTGGGTGATGTTTTATTCTCAAAGCTTCCCTACCTTCTCTGGACAGGCCCAGCACCTTACTTATGTATAGGAATGCATATAATACTTTACTAGATAAACCAAAACAATGCCTTTCACTTCTCATTTGCCTCCCCAGTGGAGCATCAATCCTGATTGTCCCATTGCTTGGGAAGGGAGAGAGGAAAGAATGAAGGAAACTATGGGAATAAGAGATGAAGAGACTGAATTGATCATTTCAGTCTGTATGTTCAAAGGTAGGAATAATGGTTGATTTTTGAGGTGCTCAGCAGGAAACCCTCCATATTTGAAAATTTAATACATGCTCTGAGGAAACTATTAGCTCCAAATGGTAGGCTTGAGACAGGAAAAGAAATGGAAAACATCACTGATTAATTTTTGTCTAAAATAATCTAACCAGACTTCAATGTTCTCCTTCCTAGAAAGTAAGAAATATATTTAATGAGAAAACATTTATAGTTTGTAGCAGCTAGTGTACAGTCTAAACAACAATTTATTTTGAAGACAAATAAACAATTTCTATTAAGGAGAAGGGGAATAGTTTGGGGATCTTTGCAGAGAAGCATTTAATTCATTAACTACATTAAATATTAAAAGTATGTATACTGAAAAAATACCTCTGAAGGAGTGAGAGCCATTTGTCCTTCTGTTCTGGGGAACTGTAAATAAAATGGGAGAGAAAAAATTAAGCCACACAGGATACTTATGCTAACATATTGAAATTAATGAACTATCAACAGCCTGTTATGGACGTAGTTGCACACTACTGCAACCTTGGCATAACTGTGTTCTGGAGTACCCTGAAGTGAAACTCACAATTAGGAAAAACTATACAGTCAAGTATAGTTTTAGTAAAACCTCTTAGATCCAGGAAAGATCCATTTTCTTACTTTATGACTCTTCTACAATCATATAGTGGAAAGAGTACTCTATTTAGAATCCAAACACCTGATTTAAAGGATATATGCAAATTACATGATGATGGACAAATCACTATCATTTCTAAGCTTCTGTTTCCACATTGGTAAAACAAAGCTGATTATCTCGGAGTGTTTTTGTAGCTTAAGTGCCATACAAATAAAAGTATGTTTAATTTGAGATTAAAGAGAAATCTGGCATACCAATACCAAGAAACCAGTTTGTTGTCAGAAGAAACATTTATTTCTTCAATCACATAGCAGAATTACAATTCAGTAAATTAGTTCATCGAAAACTTATTTTTCTATTTTTTTCTTTAATTTTTATTGTTCAATTATAGTTGATGTACAATATTATATCACTTGCAGGTTTACAATACCCCAATGATTAGACATTTATGTAACTTAGAAGTTATCACCCTGATAAATCTAGTGCCTATCTGACACCACGCATAGTTAGTACAATGTATGGCTGTAGCCCTGTGACTCTTCTGTAACTACCAATTTGTGCTCCTTGATCGTTTCACCTTTTTCAATCCCCTCGAGCAACCCTCCCCTCTGGCAATTGTCAAAATGTTCTCTGTATCTATGACTGTTTCTATTCCGCTTGTTCATTTAGTTTATTTTATAGATTCACAAATAAGTGAAATCATATGGTATTTGTCTTTCTCTGTCTGACTTATACTCTCTAGGTCTATCCGTGTTGCTGTACATTTCATTCTTTTTTATGGCTGAGTCCTGTTCCATTGTATTATATATGAACCACTTCTTTATCCATTTATCTACTGATGAACACTTAGGTTGCTTCCATATCTTGGCTATTGTAAATAACACTGTAATGAACATACAGATGTATATGTCTTTTTGACTTAGTGTTTTGAGTTTCTCAAATAAATATTCAAAAGTGAAATTGCTGGTCCTTCTTTATCTCTTGTTATAGCCTTTGTTTTGGTATATATTTTATATTTTGTCTGGTATATTTTGTCTGGTATTTTGTCTGCTACCCCAGCTTTTTTTTTTTTATATATTTCCATTTTCATGAAATACCTTTCTCCATTCCTTTACATTCAGCCTGTGTGCGTCTTCTGATCTGAAGTGACAGCATATGTAATAAGGGTCTTGTTCTGTTATTCATTCAGTCATCAAGATGTCTTTTGATTGGAGCCTTTGATCCATTTACATTTAAAATTGTTGATAGATAAGTATTTATTGCCATTTTATTGTTCATATTTTGAGATCCTCCTCTTCTTCCTCTTCCTCTTTTGACCTTTTAGGATTTCATGTAATACTGGTTTGGTGGTAATGAACTCCTTTAGCTTTTTCTTGTCTGGGAAGCTCTTTATTCTAAATAACTTTGCTGGGTAGAATAATCTTGGTTGTAAGTCCTTGCTTTTCATCACTTTGAATACTTCTTGTTACTCCCTTCTGGCTTGCAAAGTTTCTTTTGAGAAATCAGCTGAAATCTTATGGGTGCTTCTTTATAAGTAACTAACTTCTTTTCTCTTGCTACATTTAAGATTCTCTGTTTTTAACCTTTTACAGTTTGATTCTGATGTGTCTTGGTGTGGGCCTCTTTGGGTTCATCTTGTTTGGGACTCTGTGCTTCCTGGACTTGTATGTCTGTTTCCTTCACCAAATTAGGGAAGTTTTCTGTCATTATTTCTTCAAATCATTTTTCAATTCTTGTTCTCTCTCTTCTCCTTCTGGTACCCCCTTGATGCAAATGTTGGTACACTTGAAGTCGTCCCAGAGGCTCCTTACACTATCCTCATTTTGTTGGATTCTTTTTTCTTTTTGCTGTTCTGATTGGGTGTTTTTTGCTTCCCTATATTCCAAATTGATGGTTTGTTTCTTGGCTTCACCTACTCTACTATTGATTTCCTGTAAATTATTCTTTATTTCAGTTAATGCATCCTTCATTCTGACTGTGCACCATTCATTTCCGACTGGTCCTTTATTATACTCTTGAAGGTCTCCCTAATTCCTTGAGCATCCTTGTAACCAGTGTTTTGAACTCTGCATCTGTTAGATTGCTTATCTCCATTTTGTTTAGTTTTTTTCCTGGAGTTTTGTTTTGTTCTTTCATTTGGGACATGTTTCTTTGTCTCCTCATTTTGGCTGCCTCCCTATATTTGTTTCTACGTATTAGGAAGAGCTGCTATGTCTCTTAGGCTCGGTCAGGTGACCTATTTTAGTAGGTGTCTTGTAGGGTCTGGTGACACAGCCTCCCTAATCACCCCAGCTGGGCATTTGACGTGCACCCCCTGTGTGGACTGTACACCCTTCAATTGTAATTGAGTCTGGATTGCTATTGGCACATCAATGGGAGGGATTTACTCAGGCTAATCAGCTTCAAGGACTGGCTGTGACCACTGACCTCTAACTACCTTGGAGGATCAGCTGTGCAGGGGCCCACCACAGAGCAAGACTTAATTCAGCAGGGCTCTGGTACCCACTGAGTCTACCCCTTCAGTGTGTCACTTGTGGAGGTGGTTGGTGGTGGTGCTTTGATGTGGTCTGAAGCTCTCTACCAGGTGTGTTGGCTCTGGGGCCACCTGGGAGGCAAAGGCCAAGGTCAGCGACTGTCTGTGTTCTACCCAGGGCCACCAGGCATAAGCTGCAAAGCTATCTGTAGATGGCTGCTTCTTGTGCTGAGCTTGATGGTGCTCAAGCAAGGCCAAGCTGTGAACCACGTCTGGCTGCTTCTAGTGCTGGGCCTGAGGCCACTTGGTGAGAGGTATGGGGCTCGCTGAGGCCAGATGTTGCTTGTTTAAGAGATTTTAGGAAAATCCAAAGCATAAGCCCAGACAGGCCAATCCTATGGTAAAGCCACTGGAAACAGCTTGGGTGGGCCCGAAAGTTGGGTGGGGAAGAAACTCAGGGAATCACCAGGGCAGGTCAAACAGTGTGAGCCAGGTTGCCAGAGTCCCAGATACGGCACCCATCTGCCAGCTCCATAGGAGAACAGCTCACCAAAGGAACAACGACCTCCACCAGTACATCTGACCGGGAAAAAGCTGCCTCTCCAGCTCTTGCCCCAGTGCCAAAAAACTCAGTTCTTCCCCATATGTCTCTGGTGTCTTTCAAGCTGCCTTCCCCGCACTTCAGCCAAGGAGTGGGTCTGAGTAAGTCTTCCTGTGGGCCCTTTAAGAGGAACTGCCTGGAACTCCAGCAGCCTCAGCCTCCTTCAGCCTCAATTCCCACTAGTTTTTACAGACAGAAGTTATGAGGACTTCTCTTCCTGGCACTGGAACCCTCAGCTGGGGAGTGGGGGAGGGCTGGTGTGAGACTGGAACCACTTCTTGCTCCTTTGGGGGGACTTCCCAACTGGGGTGTCTCTCTTGATTTTTATCTGCCCCTACTATCAGTCTTGATGTGGCTTCTTTAAAATATGTTTTTATTGATTTTTTAGAGAGAGAGAGAGAAACACTGACATAAGAGAGAAACATCAATATGCTGCTTCCTGCATATCTCCTACTGCGGATCAAGCTCAAAACCCAGGCAAGTGCCCTGACCAGGAATTGAGCTGGGACCTCTCAGAACATGGGATGACGCTCAATCCACTGAGCCACACCAGCCAGGCTTGATGTGGCTTCTGTAGTTGTTGGATTTCTATTCAGTTCAATTTCAGGTGGTTTTGAATGATAGATGTTCTGTAGTTTAGTTGTAATTTTGGTGTGATTGTAGAAGTTGGCGAGTACCGCATTTATCTCTATACCACCATCTTGACTAGACTTCAAAATTTGATTTCCTAACAGCCTGGAAAAATGGGGGCTCAAGGTGGATTTTAATTTCATCTATAAATAAATGGCTATTTTTCATACCTCGAGACTAAGATTCATACTAGATACTCAAGTTAAAATATTCTGACTCCTCTTTCAGAATGAAATATTTCCTGAGTCTTTTGAACAGTATTCCCATTTTACTACACATCAGGTCCTAGAATAATGTCATTTTGTTCAACATCATTTCATTGTAACATTGATGAGAAAAAAAGCTTGATTCTGGCTGGGACCACACCATGTGGATTTTGCATGATCTCACCATGTGTGCATGGGTTTTCTCTAGGCACTCCAGTTTCCTCCCATATCCCAAAGATGTGCATGTTAGGTTAACTGGTTTGTCTAAATGGTCTCAGTAGGAGTGAATGTGGCTGTGTGTGAGGGTGCCTGTGATGGAATGTCGCCCTGTCCAGAGTTGAGTCCTGCCTTGCTCCTTGAGCTGTAAGGATAAGCTCCAGCCACTTGTGACCCTCAACTGGAATAAGTGGATTGAAAAATCATCATCTTACTTATTTTCATAATCTTTCTTAAATGTATGTGTAGCTTAGATTTATTTCAATATTTAATATTAGAAGTGTTTTGGGTCTTTATTTGGAAGTTTAATGATATTTTTGTGACTAGAAATATGGTGTAGGAACTTAACTCTTGTTTATATCTATTAGCCTAGGGTAAAATTCGTTTTGTTATACATTGTTTTGCTTAAAGTGAGTTTCCAAGGAACCATCAATGATGTTCAATGAGGACATACCATGTAGTTATCTGTAAAATCAAGGTGCAGTGCCTGTTTTTCTGGTTGATACAGATCTTACGTATGTGAATCAAGGTACAAGTAGTGATGGAGATACGAAATTCCTTTTGGTCTTTTTTGAAATGTAGTGATTTACCCCATTTCCCAAGGTAAAGCATGGAAAGGTCACATTTATTGTTTGCTCCTCCCCCAATGTGACCCCACTAGAAAGAAATGCCTCAGCTGGCAGTGAGTGGTTTGTTGGTTTCATATTTCAAAGCTATTAATGTTTTGCTTCTTTATTGATATTATAGTGACTGCTTTTTGAGTTACCTGACGGCATTTTAAATTGATCATGACCTCGATTTCATAATCTTGACCGAGATCCAGATATCATTTCTGAAGTTTTTCATCCCTTCCTAAAAATCTGAGCTTCTTTCTGATATCATTTCATTTCAGGCTGAAAAACTTCCACCAATTTTTTTATTGGTAGTACAGTTCTACTGGCAATAAATTCTTAGAGTTAAAAAATATCTTTATTTCACCATTTCATCTTCATTTTTGAGGGATATTTTTTCTGGATATAGGATTCTAGGTCGAAAGTTTTTTCTTTCAACACGTTAACAATGCCATTCCACTGTCTTCTGAAACCACCATGGTTTCTGATGAGACACCCACAGTGATGCAAATTGTTGTTCCTTTGTATGAAAGGTGTTGTTTTTCTCCTGCATTTTCAAGATTTTCTCTTATCTTTGCTTTAGAGCAGTTTGTCTATAACATGACAAAGTGAAGTTTTCTTCATACTCCTGTGTGATGTTGAGTTTATTGAATCTGTACATTTTTATGTCTTTCATCAAATCTCCAAGGTTTTCAAACCATTATTTCTTTAAATATTATGTCTCATTCCTTATTCTCTTTCTGAAATTCCAATTACGTGTATATTATACATTTTGGTATTTTCCAAAAAATCTCTGATATATTTCTCATTTAAAAAAGATCCCCTTGCTATTCTTCAGATTGGACAATTTGTATTGATTTATCTTCAAATTTGTGCTTTCCTCTTTTATTTCTATTCTGCAACTAAAGCCACACAGGGGATTTTAAAATTTAAAATGTTAATAGTTTTCAGTTTTAGAATTTTCACTTGGCTCTTTATTATATTTTATTAATTTTAGAGAAAGAGGAAGAAACATTGATTGGCTGTCTCCTGCACACCCCATACTGGAGATTGAGCCTGCAACCCGGGCATGTGCCCTGACTGGGAATCGAACCAAGGACTGTTAGGCTCTTGTGACAATGCTCAACCAACTGAGCCACACCAGCCAAGGCATTTGGCTCTTTTTTATATTTTCTATTTCTCTGCTGAGATTGCCTATCTTTTCATTCATTTCAATTGGCTTTTCCTTTTACCTACTGAGCATAGTTATAAGAATGCTTTAAAGTTTTTTTCTGGTAATTCCAACATATGGATCACCTCAGAATTAGCCTCTTAATTATCTTTTCCCTTTCCTGCTTCTTTGTATTTTAAGAAATTTTAGATTGTATTCTGGACATCACAATGTTTTGTTTTGGAGACTCTGAGTTTTGTTATATTTGTCAAACGGTGTTGATGCTTCTGTTTTAACAGACAAGTAACTTGATCAGACTCAAGCTGCAAACTCTCTCACCTGTGGTGGGCAGCGCCTCCTCAGCTCAATTCTTTTACCCTTAGCTCCAAGCTGCTTTGAGTCTATTCCACATAGGTATGATTCAGCAATGATCCAGAGATTTGGGCAGAGTCTATATACAAAATTTGGAGCTTAATTTCTCTGATATTCTCCTTTTTGAGATTTCTTTCCTCACTTTTCTGTGGCTGTGGCTGCCAGACTCTTGTCCTTTGGTTCTTCAGCAAAATGACTGAGTTTTTTAAAAAATATGTTTTTATTAATTTTTTTTTAGAGAGAGAGGAAGGGAGAGAGAGATAGAAACATTGATGTGAGAAACATCGATCAGCTGCCTCCTGCACACCCCTTACTGGAGATTAAGCCTGAAACCCAGGCATGTGCCCTGACCAGGAATCGAACCGGGACCTCTCAGTCCATTGGGACTATGCTCAATCCACTGAGCCACAAGAGCTGAGCAAAAAATAAAATAAAATAAAAAAGGACTGAGTGTTTTGTCAATTTAGTTACCCTCCACCATGAGGTGACTGTTGCCTGCCTCAGGCTAATGCTTAAAAACAGGAAACTCACCCACCAGTGCTGGTACCTCTTTCCAAGTTTCAATTCCTCACCAAAATCTGCCAACTTTTGTTCACTTTCCAGAACCTTCAGGTTATTGTTTGTATTTCTTTCAGAGTTTATAGTTGTTGTCTGTAGGGCTGTCAGTCTGTTAAGATCTCACTATGCCACATCAGAGGCAGTACTCTCCAACATAACTTTTAAAAAGTTATCTTTTAATTTTGAAATAGTTTTAGTTTTTCAGGAAAGTTGTAAAGATAGTACAGAAAGTCCTTGTATACTTCTTCCCCGGTTTCAGTTTCCTTTAATCTTATCCTTTTACATGGCTTATTTGTCAAACTAAGAAACCACTACTGGTGCATTGCTATAAAATAAACTCTTGACTGTTTCACCAGTTTTTCTATTATTGTCCTTTTTCTATTCTAGGATCCAATCCAGGAGACCACAGTGCATTTAGTTATCATGTCTCCTTAGTGTCTGGTCTATGACAGTTTCTATGTCTTTTCCTGTTTGTTTGTTTATTTTTACCTTGACAGTTATGAGGAGTACTTCTGTAGGTAATTTCAGGTAATCTATAGAATATCCCTCAATTTGGGTTTGTCTGATGTTTTCCTCCTGATTAAACTGGGGCTATGTGTTTTTTGGGAGGAATACCATAGAGGTAAATTGTTCTTTTCATCATATTCTATCAAAGGGTACATGATATCACTAGTTATGTTAACCTTAATCATTTGTTTAAAATGTTCTACTTTTTGAGGAATACAATGTATGTAAAGCTTGTCTCCACATTTTCCCTCTTCATAAACAAAGTTTCATGGAAACTCTTTGATTAAAGATGTCATGTAGTCCCACCCCTCACTTGAAATTATTTCCTTCATCTATAACTCCAAGAAGATTAAGCAGTTGAAAATGTTAATATCTAGAAAAATTTGTCATGAAAAAGAAGATATGCAGAAATGGATACAAATACATATTTCTTCCAAATAAGTTCTTAAAACCTTGTGGTGGCCAACAATGCATAACACAATTTAATGACATGCCTTTCATTTATGAGAGGATTAGTAGCTTGGAAAATTTTAGTTATCTGGCTTTAAGATGATGCCTGAGGAGTTTGGTGGTAGTAGGGAGAGAAGAAGCAAAAAGAAAAGCATTACGTGTAGGAGAGGAACACCAGCTCATTAAGTCTAAAATAAATACTGGACTTGCTGGTGCAATCGTTCAAAATCTCAACTATATGTTTTGGTGTGCTCACCCTGTACTGAAAAGTGCCAATTTAGCATGTTGAGGATAAGAACACAAAGATTTTCTTTCTTTTTTTTTTCCCCTCACCCAAGGACACTTTTGCATTTATCTTCAGATAGAGCAGGAGGGAGAGAGGGAGGGAAAGAGAGAGAAACATCTATGTGAGAGAGATACATCAACTGGTTGCCACCCACATGGTCCCATCCAGGGCCTGGGACAAACTGCAACTGAGATACGTGCCCTTAGCGGGAACCGAACCCGGGACTCTCTGGTCCATGGGCCAATGCTCTAACTACTGAGCCAAACCAGCTAGGGCCACAAAGATTTTCTATCCATACATTCTCTAATCCCATCTAAGCCAGGGAGTGAATCTTAGAAAATGAACTTTAACTTCTTGAATCATAAATTTGCTTTGGACTGATCATAGTTCTATAGATATCAAATCAAAACCTGATGTAAAATTCAGGCACCCATTTATATCATGACATTAATTTTACTTCAATAGTTAAAAACAATTTCTTTAGAAAATTTGGAGTATAAACTGGTCATTCAAACACAATTGGACTATTTTATAAAATTTCTTTCAGCAAAGGTTTATTTCAGTGGTTTGGAAGACCAACTACAAAGCACACTATGTAAACAGAGGGGATGTTGGAGGGGGTCCTAGAGCTCTGAGAACTGCTCCTCCCACAGTCCTGCAGGTGTTTCAGTAGAGCCCCTTAGAAATCACTAGTCAAACAAGATAACTCCAGAGTCCTCACTGTTTACCATTTTCGTATATTTTGATTAAAAGGCTCTTTGGGAGAACCATAAGGCATGCAAGTGTTTTTACTGGGGGTGTCTCAAAAGATGAGTTATTGACTTTGAAATAACTCAATCAGAATAAAATATTTTCCTTTAAAGAATTAAAATAAAATCTGATTAACTTTTTTCCTCTCCATCCTAGAAATTACATAGCTGACTATATTTCATAGTAACTAACCCATGTACAAACCATGCTCTTACCTGAAAGTAGCCACAAAGTTCACTGTGGGCCAGCCCACAACGAATGATCTCATGGCATCGGTGTTGCCTTCTCCCACTTCGTCCACACAGCTTGCTGTCCACATGTCACTTAATTTTATTTTATTCTTTATCTTAAAGTTGTTGTTATATCTAGAAAGATAAAAACCAGACAGGACTTACTATTTTTGTTTCTTAACTTTTATGAGAGTTCCTGTACTTGTGATAAGAGAACAGTTTAAACTAATTAAGGCAAAGAATGTCTTATTCATTGTTTTTATCTTCAGTGCTTACTACAGTGAACTGTAAAAAGGTTGGCTACCATGGACCAAAAATGCCTTTGAAACAGTTGGTGTACTAGTCCTCATGCCTGCATTTAGCCATCAACTGGCTACTTTAATTTTCTGTATGTTGAGTATACCATTTGGATCATAATCCTAATTTTAAATTTACTGCTGTTATAAAAATTTAATTCATTTATGATTTACAATTTTCTTACTTCCGAAAATATTTCAGTACCTGAACAAAAGATTAAAATACACATTATTTATTAAAATATTAATACAATTTTCACCTTAACAGATAGATATATGAAAACATATACAACCTGGAATTAATTAGAGGAATTTACAATGCATTTCAATCTGAGTGGTTACAAGATTTTCTAGACTTTAGAAGCAAAGATTATTTTATATTTTCTTTATTAAGATTTTCTTCATACCATTTCCCCTTATATTCCGGCTAAAACAGAAAAACTAGGCTGAAAACAGAACCTCCACTAAGCTGAAAAAATAAAGGCCAGGAAGTATTATATTTAAGTAAAGTTGACATAATTAACATTTACTTCTGGAGACTCAGAAGGTGACCTACTTTAAGTCGACAATAAAGTTTCTTTTTGACAATTTCTACTTAATCTGCCTTAGAACCCTGATATTGACAACACCAAAACATTTAATGTTCATAATGGACCTAAGACTTAAATAGTTAGAAGGTACTGGGAAGGATAGAGAGAATGCTCAGTGAAACTTGGCTATTTCCTATCATTCGGAACCACTTGTGGAAACACTAAAAGCTAAAATGAAATTGAAGATACTTCATATGGAAGTATTCTTAAAACTACTCATAGAATATATTTTTTAAAAAACATGTTTTCATTGATTTTTAGAGATAGAGGAAGGGAGAAGGAGAGAGACAGAAACAATGATGTGAGAGAGAAACACTGATGGTTGCCTCCTGTACACACCCCGACTGGGGATAGAAACCCTGAACGGGAATTAGTCTGTGACCTTTTGGTACATGGGACACCACTCAACAAACTAAGTCACACTGGCCAGGGCTCCTCATGGAATATTTAAAGCTAAAACTCTCTAAAAGGATTTATAACAGAATCTTGCTGAAACTATACCTGAAAAGTAATGTAGATTCAAAGCCTCATTTATGCTTCCCGTAGGACAGGGACACTTAACCTAAGTGCAACAGAGAAGAGCTAGGAGGCACAGTAGCTTTCTTCCATATTTCATTTTAGTATTTTTCACCCTATTGTTATGGATCTTTCAATTTTTTAAATTAAACACTCAATTTAAGATAAAGTCTGTTTTTCTTTTTAAAATCTTATTTCTTGATGGCAACTATGTAGGTAATATAAAACTGAAACTACAAATCTTTTGGAAAGAGAGGTAAGTTTTCATACATTTTGTGTTTTCTAATGCAGGCCTCTTTTTATATTAGATAGTTTAGATACCATGTGGAAACTGCCAAATCTATGGACTTGAAAAGAAGTTATTCCAATGATTCTTTCCCTAGATCAGTAAGGTACCAAGATTATCCATTTCCTCATACAAAAACAAAGAGATGTCTAAAAGTGTAAAGGATTTCCTTTCTAACTTTATTGAAAGCTTATCATGTCCCAGTCATTGTTATAAACACTTTCCGTATATGATTTAGTTCAATCCTCAAACATTTTACAGATAAGAAATTGAGTCATGGAGAGATTAAAACACTTGCCAAAATCCAAACCGCTTAATTAGCAGAGAGAGAATCTGAACTGAATAATGTTGACTCCTGACCTCATTTATGTTCTTAAACACTAAGCATCTATCAAAAGCCCTGGATGGGAGTATATTTCCATGAAGTTTCCTTCAACCTTTCTATCTTCAGTCTTCTTCTTTCATCTATTTGTACCTGCATGCTCTTAGGGCTCTTGAGTTCATTACCCCTCCCCCGCCAATTAACTTAGATTACTCACACTTTTAAATATCCCCAATGAATGCAGAAAGTACATAAGATAATCTTTTATGAATTGACTCTCTTAAATAAGCACAGCTAAATCAACTGATAAAGATTTTTTTTTAAATCCTCACCCAAGGACATTTTTTCATTTTTTGTTCAGACAGAATGGGAGGGAGGGAGGGAGGAAGAGAGAGAGAGAAACATCAATGTGAAAGGGACACATCGAATGGTTGCCTCCTGCATGACCCAAACAGGGCTGGGGACAAACCGCAACCAAGGTACGTGCCCTTATCGGGAACCAAACCCGGGTCCTCTCTGGACTGCAGGCCGATGCTCTAACCGCTGAGCCAAACCAGCCAGGGCAACTTATAAAGATTTCGTTACATTTAAGTGGACATAAAGAGTTATCTCCAAAGCCGTATGTAGAAAAAAAATGCATACACTTTATGTGAGAAAGAAACAATCAACTAAAAAGTCATCTATAGAAGTAGATGACAGGCCCAGATTTTGCCAATATATATAAAACAGTAACTTTCTAGTGGGAAAGAAACTGTCTTTATATAAAATATTTTTAGCAAAACATTATATGTACATAAAACCACTTGAATGCTAGCAATAGTCAGAACAATGTTTTCAGGTAAGAAAACAAAAGACTTCAACTCTAAATGTTATCATAATTGTTGAGGAAAAAATCCCCAAAAGGTGAAGGAAAATATTTTCTTTAGTAAGAACAAAATACATGTTAAAGTAAATAGTTTTTAAAGTCCCAAAGTGCAGAAAATGGATTATGATGAGTTTTTGTTGTTTATTTACCTCTTGGCTGAGCGCAGAGCTCTGGACATACTAAGTACAATGTGGAAGAGTGGAATGGGCCAGCCACTGGAAGTAAGTCCTAGATTAAAAGCCTTGCTCAGCCACTTTCTAGTACGGCAATTTTCAACCAGCATGTCGCAAGAATTTGTAAAACGCGCACTACTTGATTGTTTAGTCAGGGGCACTGACCTCTTTCCCTTAGCTTGTCAAATGAAAAAATGACAACAGTCAACACACAAAATAACTGTCTGGTGTGAATGAATCAAAATTGTTCATATTTTTTTTCCTATTGGCAAAATATATATTTTTTTGGTGTGCTGCAGTTTAGTAATTAGTTTATGTGTACCATGAGATGAAAAAGATTGTAATTGCTGTTCTAGTCCATGACTGTGGACAAACTTTTCTGAGTTTCAGTGTTCAATATCTAAAACCACTCTTGTTTTGGGGGTTTGTTAAGAAAATTAAATAACATCTTTGTGATTCTCTTATTATAATACCTAGTAAATAGAACCCATCCTATACATTTTAAATAAACAAATGGTAAATGTACATTTTAAAAAGTGATGATTTGTTCTTCTATGAACAGCCTCTGTCAATAGCACAGAGTTTCAAATTGACTTAGTACAAAGGCTTGGATGGAGAAACTTTTCTTTTTTATATTCCTCAGAGCATCATCTCCACTTCCAGAACTACAAGTTCTAGGTATTATCCTACTCAAAAATACATTCTGATTTTTAGTTTCAGCCCACTGTGGGTGGGAAAGATACTTGGTAAGACTGAAATCTTACTAATTTTATTAAGACTTGAGATATTACCTCATACCTGTTAGGATGGCTATTATTAAAAAAAAAACGCACACACCCACAAACAAACAAACAAACAAACAAACAAACAAACAAACAGACAACTGTCGGTGAAGATGTGGAGAAATTTGAACCCTTTTTAACTGTTAGTGGAAAAACAAAATGGTACAGCTACTATGAAAAACAGTATGGAGGTTCCTCAAAAAATTAAAAATATAGCTACCACATCGCCCTGGCCTGTTTGGCTCAGCAGTTGGAGTGTTGGCCTGCAGACCAGAGAGTCCAGGTTCAGTTCCCAATAGGGGCACGTACCAAAAAAAAAAAAAAAAAAAAAAAAATTAAAAAAAAATATATAGCTACCACATGATCCAGCAATCCCACTTCTGGGTATTTATCAATGAAATGAAATCAGGTTCTTGAAGAGATATTAGCATTCTCATATTTGATGCAGCACTATTTACAATAGCCAAGATGTGTAAACAACCTAAATATCCACTGATGAATAAACAGATGAAGTAATGTGGCAGACACATACAATGGAATATTATTCAGCCTTAAAAAAGAAGAAAGCTGTGAACAGGTGACAACATGGATGAAACTGGGGGATACTATGCTAAGTGAAATAAGCATGATTTCACTTATATGAGGAATCTAAAATAGTCAAACTTACAGAATCAGAGTGGAATACTGGTGCCAAGGGCTGAGGGGGGGTGGTGGAAGTGGGGAGATGCTAATTAATGAGCATTAAGTTTTAGTTATGCAAGATAAATAAAGTCTAGAGATCTGCTGTACAACATTGTGCCTATTAGTTAATTATTATACATTTAAATTTTTGTTAAGAGGGTAGACATCATGTGTTCTTACACAAAAAGGGGACATTTTTCCTAAGGAAGAAACCCAGCCCATTATAAAACAGTTTCCTTATCTTTATCTTTGCCTCTTACTTGAAAAAAAAAAAAAAATATATATATATATCAACAGTTTACTAAACATTCTTTGTCATTTCTTCCTAGATGAGTAGTTAGATCCTTTTATTTATCACAACAAGAAAGACTGATTTAAGGGTTGGAAAAAAACCCGTAAATGGTTGAAGAAATCTCTAAGAAAAGAGGTAACAGAGACAGCAGACCACATGTTGGTTAAAAGCATGGATTTTGAAAAAGATGTAGGTTAACATCCTGAATATCAATTTCTTCTGTAAAATGAGAAGAATAATATTCACCTGGTAGAACAGTTATAAGAGTTAAAGTCTCTAGAAAAATATCTCACACATAATAAGATCTCCGGAAATATGAGGTCTCTATTATTAATATCACTCAGATTAAATAGTGTTTGACAAAATTAGTATTTAGCCATGCCCATGTTTAAAACATGGCATGCCCTGGCTGGTTTGGCTCAGTTGCTAGTGTCAGCTCGCAGACCAGAAAGTCCCAGGTTCGGTTACTGCTAAGGGCACGTACCTTGGTTGCAGTTTGTCCCCAGCCTGGTTGGGGTCATGTGGGTGGCGACCACCGGATGTGTCTCTCTCACATCGATGTTTCTCTCTCTCTCTTCCTCCCACTCTATCTGAAGTAAATGCAAAAAAAAAATATATATATATATATATCCTCTGCTGAGGATAAATAAACAGCAAAACAAACAAACAAAAAAACCCATGCATAACTTAGGTGTGAGAGTGGGGACAGTAAAAAAGTATTTACCATTATCTAGTGACTAAACATCTCTTTAATGAGATTAGATTTGTTGAAATCCCATGGTCTTTTATGATGTTTCATAAACAATGAGAATAGGGGATGGAACAAGTAGCAACCACCATGTTCTAGACTGGGTGTTAACTGCACTGACATTTAATACCCATTGGCGTTAAATGGAAAGGGAATTCTTTTGATAACCTCAAAGGATATTTCAAATATGTCTGTATCTTTCATTGAAATCCCATTTCCCAGATAAAGACCTCATTACCTCTCATCAGGACTACTATGATAACCCCCTGCCCAATCTTTTTGCTTCTCCTTGTGCCTATTTTCTAATCCATCCATCAGCTATCATAGCCAGAATAATATTTTACAAATATAAACCACATCATGCTACTACCCTAATTAAAATCTTCTGGAATAAAATACAAATGCCATATCATAGCCTTTGTGATACCTAGCCTCCAAGATGGCCCCTAATGATCTCAGTTTCCTGATATTCACACTCTTGAGTAGTTCTCTTCCACACTGTACCAAGGTGGTCTATGTGGCCAATAGCATACATCAGAAATGATGGTATGCCATTTCCAAAGTTAGCTTATAAAAGACTGCAGCTTCTATGTTGGGTGTTCTACATTTGCCTACCCTCTTCCTCATTCTCTTGGGTCTTTCACTCCAAGGAAGCAATACCATGTTATGAGCAGCCTCGTGCCAATAGCCAATGAGAAACTGGGGCCTGCCAGCATTCACATGAATGAGCTGGGAAGTGGACTTCTCTAGCTCCGGTCAAACTTTGAGATAGATGACTATAACCCTGGCTGACAGCTTGAATGCAACCTCATGAGGGCCCTTGATCCAGAACCACAGTTGAACCACTCCCAGATTCCTGACTCAGAAAAACTGTGTGAGAGGTTTGTCATTATGTACTGTTATTTTTGGGGGTAATCTGTTATATGGCAATAGATAATTAATATAGCCTACAAAGGTCCTGATATAACCTGATCTCTGCCTATTTTTCCAAGCTCAATTCACATTACTTTCTTCCTGCCCATGATACTCCAGTTACATATATAGGCTTCTTTTAACTCCTCCAAAGGGCCAAGCTTTTCCTACCACCTTTGTACCTGGTATTCCTTCTTCCTAGAATGCTGATCCTTCTACTATCTGAATGGCTGTTTCTTTTTCATCCTTCAATGATTTCCTCCCCTTGACTACACCTACCTAACATATATCCCATTTTTACTTCATCCAGCATCCTATTTTCTTCATAGCACTAGTCACAATCTATAATTACTGCCCACTCCCCCCCAAAAACCATTAGAATGGAAGTGCCAAAAAAGCAGGGACCATACTCATCACATTCGTTATTGTATCTCCTGTGTTTACTCAGAGTGTGGCACAGACTGGGATTTAAATGAACACTTGAAACAAACATAAAACTCACTTCAGATATTAACTATGGTAATAGAGGCCAGACATTCTTTTTTTTTTTTTTTTAAGAGAGAGAGAAACATTGATTGGCTTCCCCCTGCAGGTCCCCCCAGCAATAGGGATCTAGCCTGCAACCGGGCATGTGCTCTGACTGAAAATAGAACCTGGGACCTCTCAGTGCAGGGATGACACTCAACCAGCTGAGCCATACCGGCCAGGGCAAGACCAGACATCTTTACAGTGAGCATTGAACAGTAACACAAAGGTGATCGTTGTCAGTGGAAGTGCAATTTTATAATGATAACTGGGAGAGAGTATAGAGGATACTTACTTGCTTTTGGCCACAACAAACAGATCACTGAACAGGAAAAGATGCCGCTCCTGCTTTTGCAGGCCTCTTTTGAGTTCTACTCTGCCCTCAATTAGCAGAGTCCTATTGGAGCACACAGATGATGACAGAAATGCACCTGTGTCCATGCTAGCAGAAGGACTTTCCCTGTAACAGAGTGAACACCACAGACCCTTAGTCAAATGATCACATATAGGACTGAGTGTCTATAAAATTATAGCTTATTGTTGGTCAAGGAATACAAAATGCTATAATTTTTTAATGCAATGGCATAGTTTCCTAACTGCTTTCCTAGTCTATCTCTACACAGTAGTCTTTAACATGTCATAACGAAAATTTTCAAATATAAAGCAAAGTTGAAAGTTTTATAGTAAACACAGGTACATTCTAACATTAAAACTTTATTACACTTGCTTTAATATAGCTATCCAACTACCCATCCTTCTGTCTACTCATTAATCCATCGTATTTTTGGCATTTCAGTGTAGACTGCATAGAGCAGTACATTTCCCTTTAAATACTTCAGCATCAATAGCATTAACTAGAGTTCAATATTTATAATAAAAAAAATCTACATTATCTTATTAATCAATGTCACTCTAATAAATTTGATAAAAATAAAATGAAAGGCACATAGAACCTTGACAAAATGTATACACAATGAAATGCACAAATATTAGGTGTATATTCACTGAGTTTCAATAAGTGTATTCACCTGTATCATCTAAACCCTTATCAAGATGTAGAAACTTATCCTCACTCCAAACAAGTTCCTCTTCTCCCTTCTCAGTTGTTATATAAATCAGCTGAAGATGGCCTTTATGTACTGAGTCCCTGGACTGTTTATTTCTTCACTGCAGACTGAGACTCATTAGCCAAAAAGTCTGCTGAAACCTGTCAAATTTTTATATACTTAATTATCTAAAAAATAGCCCAAACAAGGAGATTTTTAGCTATGTATAGCTTGCTCACTTTGCATTCTCCACAAAACTATGCTCAACATTTACTCTTCATTGATAAGACAAAGCCTGTGGTTGTAAGACCACCCTTTGGAGCTTTCTGACTTAGTAGCAAGACTCCCGACCTTGCTACTGAGTGACTTCACCTAGACATGTAATCTCCAGAGACACCTATCCTCTTCTATCTGCATCGCCTCAGGAATTCCCTTGCCCTCCTACCCTTCTAGATGGTGGCCCTTTGGCCAAAAGCCTCCAGACAGTCTCATGCTGCGAGAGGCTTCCTTTCTCATGCAACCTTGTCCAGTGGTCATACCTTTTCCTTGACCAGCCCCCAAATCCTTCAAATTCCTTATGAAAGTCAATCCCTACCCTGTCAGCCTCAAGGCAACCAATATTCTGATCCCCTCACCCCACTGAAGATTAGTTTTGCCTTTCTAGAATTTCATATAAATGGAATCATAGAATTTGTCAGGGTCTCCATCAAAGTATAGGGTATAAGAAGCCATGCCTTGTCATCCCAAGTGTCTGGTTAACAGGGCAGCTACAGTAGCGGGGAGTCTGGCTTAGTCTGTGTCTAGGTTTGAACAGTATGGGTCACAGTGTCTGATCTCCCCTGGGTATACTAAAAGGCTGAGGGCCATACACCTGATAACTCTTCAGGGTGGCACCTGAATGATCAGCCATCCCTTCCTCAACTGGGAACTTCTTTGTTTTGTTTTGTTAATCCTCACCTGAGGATATTTTTTACACTGATTTTTATTTTAGAGAGAATATACAGGAGGGAGAAAAGGAGGATGGGGGGAGAGAGAGAGAGAGAGAGAGAGAGAGAGAGAGAGAGAGAGAGAGAGAGAAAGATCAATGTGAGAGAGACACATTGACTGGTTGCCACCTGAATGACTCCAACCAGGGCTGGGGATTGAACCTGCAACCCAGGTACGTGCCCTTGACTGGGAATCAAACCCAGAACCCTTTGTTTTGCAGGCTGATGCTCCAACCACTGAGCTACATTGGCCAGGGCTCAACTGGGAACTTTCAAAAAATGCAAATTCTCTGGCCCACATCAGACTTCCTGAATCCAGAAACTCCGGAGCGCTGGCTTAGCATTCCGTATTTTAACAAGCCATTTAAATGATTCTAATGCACGCTGAAGTTTGAGAGCCACTTATGACTCTGTAACACATCCTGGCTCTAACATTCTAAAATTTTACAATTGTGCATTAAAGTATAAGTAGCACATATTACTACTTTAGATAAGGTGAACTTCTGAGAGTTGTTCCATCCTTTCCTGTGGTTTTTGAGATACTGCTGTCTCTCCTAATATTTAAATTCTATGCTCACTACGTATAATTTAAAAAGGAGTATACATAAACAACAAGGCAAGTAAATCAACCAAAGCCCTTTAAAAGAAAAAGGAAAGGGAGTTTCTATGTTTGATATTATAGATTGTAATTAAACAGAGAGAAAAGGCCCATATTCATCACCACACAGAAAAATCCTTTCTATTTCAAATTCTTTTGGAGTGGGGGAGCAGGAGGAGTCATAATGGCATCTTTTATTATGTAGTGACTTTAACTTTATAGAAAATGAAATTTCATTTCTTGTGCAAACTGAGTAAGAACAATTTAGCAAACAATGAATAGATAAAAGAATGGCCAATATAGCATTTTACATAGCTTTAGTTTCTTAATTGCCTGACAGGAAGATTTTGCAAAGGGGGAAAATCATCTTTTGCATTTTGATTTTAGGTATTCAATAAATAACTTTTTGATTATAATAATAAAGCATTAGATAGCAGTATAGTTGGAGCTAGGGATGCTCAAATTATTCCTCAAAGTGTCTGATAGTAAAACTTTTAGGCTTTGTGGGTCATATGGTCTGCTGTTAACTTCAACTGCTGTTGTAACACAAAATCAGCCATTGACAATACATAAATGCATAGATGTGACAGTGATCCAGCAAAACTTTATGTACAAAAATAGGCTGCCTGTCTGGGCCATACTTTGCTGACCCTGGGTTTATGCAATACTTCCAAAATATTTAAATGCTTATAAATAATGGTGAATCTGAAGCAATTAGTGAATTAATTTTTTTTTTTTTTTGGCTTGGGGTTGCATAGACCAAAGGTTAATTAGCGTTTTTGTTTTTGTTTTTCTTTTTTGCCAAATGATTTACTATTTATGTATTTATTATCCTCACCTGATGACTTTTTTTTTTTTTTTCTCATTTATCTTCCGCTAGAGTGGGAAGGAGAGAGGGAGGAAGAGAGAGAGAAACATTGATGCAAGGGAGACACATTGAGTGGTCGCCACCTATACAACCCCAACCAGGGCTGGGGACAAACTGCAACCAAGGTACGTGCCCTTAGTGGGAACCAAACCCAGGTCTCTCTGGCTGATGCTTCAACCATTGAGCCAATCTGGCCAGGGCAAATGGTTTACATTTTAAAGCAATGCCAAAGAATTTTTATACATACTAACTCATTTTCCACCTCACAATAACACTTTCAAATTAAGTAGAGTAGATGGTGATATGGGGGAGAACTCCATCATGAGTTTAAAATATTTTTCTCTTTTAGTGTGGATTTATCAACATACATTTTAAAGATCTACATATAGTTATGACAAGAGATGCCTCAGGACTTTAGTAACTGAACCATTGATTTAACTCCCAGCCCCCACACACGATGATCATGCAGTAGAATGTACTTGAGTAAAAATAAACATCTCAGCACTCACATAATTTAAAAAGAAAAAATTCTTTTGTAGAAGAAAACAAAAACACAAATAACCTTTGTGGTTTTAAAAAGTACAATCTTAATCAGTGTTTCCTACTTAAAAATGTATTTCTCAATTATGTGACTCTGAAGTGTTTGTTTTTATTCTGAGTGCAATGTGGATGTGTTTATTTTAGTGTCTTAGAGTATGGAAATGGGGAGGAGGGTAAGATTATAACCTTCTATTTAGCCTCTTAATATAGCCTGATTAGGATACAAGTTATAATTAACGGACGTCTAAAATGATCTAACAAATACAAGAAGAGTCTAAGGATTAACCTGCTGTGGGCTTCTTATGTGTTAACATTTCATTTTCAAATAGCTTCGTGAAGCTATTTCTGAAAGGCAAAAATTGTGTCTTTGGACCTTAATCATTTTTTAAATTAAAATGATCCATTTTCTCATAAAGCTTGCCCACAGTAATATCTCTTCATAGTTATTACTAAGGCTCATTCTAAAAGCAAGTCCATGTTTAGGTTCAGTTTTAGAGGTGGTGTTGCTTCATCTTAAATTACAAAAGAAAATAAACTAAAATTTAGAATAGAATACTTCTTAGAAATGTCCATGTTTACATGTGGTAATCAATGAATGATTATGATGACAAGTATTAGATAAGACCTGCTACTCCAAATGCCATCTCTTCTATGAAAATTTTCTCTCAGTTGAGTTTTTTTAAAATTTATGATAAAACACACATAAAATAAAGCTTACCATTTTAAATGTATAATGTAGTGGCATTCAGCATATTCACAATGTTGTGCAACCACCACCACTATCTAATTCCCAAATATTTTCATCATCCCCAAAGGAAGACCTGTACCTATTATGTGTTCACTCCCCACTGCCCTCTGCATCCAATACCTGGAAACTATAAACTTCATTATGTCTCGATGGATTTGTCTATTCCGGATATTTCATATCATACAATATGTGACCGTTAGTGCATGATTTGTTTTACTTAGCATAATGCTTTCAAAGTTAATCCATACCTTAGCAAGTATCAGCACTTCAATCCTTTTTATTGATAAATAATGTTCCATTGTATAGATATAACACACTTGTTCATCTATTCATCAGTTCAGGGGCATTTGGGCTGTTTCCATTTTATGACTATTGTGAATAGTGCTGCTATAAAAATTCATGTACATATTTTTCTTAGAACATCTGTGATTTTTTCTTTCTAGTATATACCCAGGAGTGGAGATGCTGGATCATATGGCAATTCTATGTTTAAATTATTGAGGAACTGCCAAATTGTTCTCCACAGTGGCTGTACCATGTTACATTCCCACCAGCAATGTATGTGGGCGCTGGTGTTACTTTTGACTCTTCTCTCTTTTGTTCCCCACATAAAATCGTATCTTATGTTTATAGGATATCTACCTAAAAAATAAAATCTCCCAAGTCTAGATTCTCTTAATCTCTACTATAGTTTGCAATGAACTCCTAACTGGATTGTACTTCTTTGCTGTCTCTTCATTCTATGCTATTCATTTCTCACATTTATCAAAATAATCTTCCCAGTGCATATTACCAATGACCATGGCATGTACACTTTCTAAAGAGTAAGATCAACTCCTTAACCCAGCATTCAAGTTCTAGCATCTGTTTTACCCTATCTGGTCATAATGATATGTCAAGTTAGAACTCTGTATTCATATAAAGGTAATCCTAGTTAGTCTCAGAGAATAAAGTAGTCCAGAAATAATTTAGAATAAAAAGAGATAACTACTTAAATGAAACTAAAACAAAACAAAACAAAACAACCCCCCCATACTCACTATCAACATCAAAATTCTATCTTATTTAGCAATAAAAATTTGTCTATTTGAATATTCATGGCTATCTCAAATATCTCAACATTAAAAGCACATTTCAAGGAAATCTGGTCTAAAGCAATTATCTGTCTCATTGATGGGATACAACATGAGAAAGTGCTATTACATTTTAATAGTCATCATCTAAATAAACACATTCAAATTATCATAGAAAACTCTTTCACTTTTTAAATCCCAAAGCATATTCCATATTTACAAATAAGCTGCTAAGTAATTTACATGTTAACAAATACCTACAGTGCATTAAGGCCCAGGGGATACAGCAGCCAATGAAGTGACCAGGGCCATGCAAAGAATTTCACCTTTTATTCTGAGTGAGATATGAAGAGGAGATAGTTTGAGCAGAGAAGTGACAGGATCTATTAGGTAAATAGCATAGAGGGCAGCAAAGAGGAAGCATGTAATAAACACTTGCTTAAAGACAATTTAAAAGAAAATCACAGTAATGGTTTGGCTAAATTCCTTAAGTAAAAGCCCATTAGGTGCTTCTTGAAAATTCTATGATGTGGTTGTATGCAAATATAAACTATTATTTCCATTTCCAAATTAACATCAATGATTAAATGATGCATTATGTAGCTCATATTATAGAACAGAGCCTAGTGATCATGTTAATAGCAAGATTAAAATGAACTAAGGAGAAGGGCTTATGGGCTGTATGAAGGAATGGCTGGATAAAGAGAGTGAGTAGGGCTTTAAAAGCAAGAACAATACAAAGGAGAACCTTTAAATTATAATCAAAATGCTGACTGGAACAGGCAGTATATGTGATATAATGAGAAAAACTATCTTATATCAATGATGCAAATATTTAAAGAGCAAGGAAAACAAAAACATTAAGTAAGTAAAGACAAAGAGGAATTTGGAAGGAGAGTGTGATGGACAGAGGACACTAATAAATAGTTACACTAACAGAGAAAGATCCATACACAGAGATATTATTTCCAAAGAAGGAAGTAAACTACATAACTTTTTTATAGCCTTGACGCTGATAGATGCTCAACAACATCTATTAGGAATTCACTTAATAAAAAGCACTTGACAAGACATTACAAGAAAGGAGAGAACATATTGTATGAGCACTATCTCTGAGAACTTCAATTTAGTCACTTGTGTGGACTTAAAAATACTGTGCATTTTAATTATCAACTAAGTAAAACTGGGTTGAGTCACCTTATTAAATCAAATAAGATTGCCAAAATATATTTATGCCACCCAAGGAAATTTATATGTGCAGTGATTACAATGTGATATGGTTATATGTTCATTTGTTTATTCATTCAATAAAGAACCAAGTCACCAATAGGCTGACTGGGACTCCAGTAGTTTTAGTAGTTTGGTTCAGGTAATAATTATACAATGGTACACTGAAGGAAACATCCTTTAAAACATTTTTTTTTTTTTTACAGGATAGGCATTTTAAATAACTCTTTTTACCCTGTACAACTTTAATATCTACTACTCAAACAAGAAACAAAACAAAACAAACCACAGAAGTGGTAAGTATCATAGAAAAGAGTTGTAACTCAAAATACTAAGGGAGTTTAGGAGCCAGAAAGTGACCTTGGAAACAAGCAGGTAGTGAAATAGGAAGAAGAGGGGTGAGGAAGGAGGAAGACAAGAGATCAGAAAAAGTTTCACAAAGCAGTCAGTATTTATCTGAGTTTTTCAGAGTTAAGATTTGGACAAAGAGAAAAACTTCAGTATAAAAACATCAGGTGATTTGCTAAAGGCCACAAAACTGCTTAATGCAAAGCTAGGCCTGGAACATCAGTTTCCCAATGCGAACGAGTAGGCTTTGGATTAGGTATCGCATTTGGGAAACATGTTTTGGCAGTACTTTTCATCTAGTTTTCCTTATGATAAATAACCTTTGTCTATTTTTCTGTTTTTCTGTTTGAAATAAGTCACAATGAAAAAAAAATTACCAAAGGACAAAGAACAGAAAAACTTTTGCAGTTTGTTTAATATACTATATTACTTGATCTTTCCCCTCTCTACACAAAGAAAATATATGAAACCTTTTTAAAAATGTCTGTATCAGGTATATTAGCAGTATCTGACTTGCGTGTTATCATTGTTTGTTGACTGTACCACAAACATGTTACTTAGCACTTAATTATATGTCATCTTTCATGTTCTCTAGTTATTTTGTATCCATGTACCATTATTTCCAGAACTGGATGGCAGACTTCTAGTGACCATTTCACACTGTGTAGCAAGGTAGGATCCATGTCTTATTTCTGATCCCGTTTCTAGAACTATCACTTTCATAGAGGACTCAAATGTTTGCAGAATAAACAGGTAAGCAAACAAAAGTGTCTTTGGTTTCTTCTCCACCTACAAAAGTAAAGTAATCACTCAATTTATCATTCAGAAAACCAAACCAAACTCCAAAGCCACTTTGCTATGAATCTGTGTTGGTACTAATCCTGTTTCGCTGGGGGAGGGTCGGGGTGGGAATGAGAGGTCCTCTCTCTTCTGATGGATGATCACCACGAGTCCAGTGAAGCACAGGGGAATGAAAGTAACTCTCTTGAGGGGAGGCAGCCACATTTGCGTAGTTGCTTCTGTTCTCTACGTAACATTATGATTACAGTAAACCTTTACACCCATGCCACTCAATTTCTGGAATTCTTTTCCATCACTCCTCTGCAATAAAAAATAAAAGAGAAGAATTCCAGAAAGATAAACATTTGACTTCATGCAATTTTGTTCACAGTGGCAGGGCTTTTTTCAAGTGATTGAAGCATTCTGAAAAGTGAGAAAAAGCTACAAGCTATTAGAAAGAACCTAAGCCCACCCTCTCTCTCGCCCACGTTAATAGATTCTCAGACTTTCTCCTCTCATAGACTTGGTTCTGTGCACATGTACAAAAGAACATGTGAAGGTGTCCAGGATGGTTTTGAAATTCTAACCCCTGATGCAGGGCAAAGCTTTTAGTTTTGCTCCTTACAAAACTAAACTGAACAAGTGTTTACTGAACTGAAATCCAATGGAAGAAAAATGAGAAGCATTAAAGCACTCACTACCAGCTGGACACAAGTTCATGGGGACCCATCATATTACAAATGTTTTCATTGTTCTCAAATATTTTTTTTTCATGTTCAAATGGTAAGAGATTGATCACAATGGTCACAATTAATGCTAAGGAACAAATATCTTTATTTCTATTTTATTCAAAGTTTTAAAAAATGTTAGTAATAAGTAGAATACTCACAAATAACTGCTGGTGCATGTTAAAGCGTGAAGCCCCCATATTAAAAGCTAGACAAAATAAAAATTGACAGCGCAACTAAAACCAAACCACATTTTAAGTCATTTTTCACATAGCTAAAATGGCATCATTACCTTAACAAAGCAGAAAGCACGCCTTGCATCTGTGTTGGTGGAGCTGAGCAAACACACATGTGGACTAATTTATTTCCAGACTGTGAACATTTCAGTGTGTGGCTATAACGTGCTTTCTGTGACCATTCAGTGCAAGTGATAAAGCAAAGTTCCCTGTCATAGAGGCCTTGCCAGAAAGAGAGGTTAGTGGGAAACGGGTCTACCATTTCTATCATTTCCAATAAAATTATATTGGAAGTATATTCCAGAGGTTTCTGAATCTAGGGCTTTGGAGAAGATGTAAGAATAAATCTTTAAGCAGCCTACAATTGAATTTCAATGGAAGTTTCAATCTTTTTATTCTTCAGAAAACGCTTTTCCACTGACCTCAACTTTAGATATCTACAGGGAGTGTTAATATTCCACAGAATTGAATTAATTACATTTGTGCTGCCTAGACTCCATTCTCCTTTTTATTAGAACTAAGTAGATGGCCCTTGGAAGAGAAGAAAACAGAAGGAGGTGGTGGTGGTGATGGCAGGGGTGAGGGGTGCAAACCTTCCGCTCTTCTAGAACCAGAGCTTAATGTGTTCAAAATATTAGCAGAACAAAATCAGAGTCCCAGCCCTCCGCGAGGGTAAGGGCTTTAGTCTGTCTTGGTCACCGCTGTATTACTGGTGGTACCTGGTCCCAGGAAACACTCAACAAATATTTACTGATTTATGATGATAAATGTCTATCCTGTGATGGTCTTGTAAAGCTCCTTACAGACAATCATGGTTCTTTTCTGAAGGTGACAGATATAAGGGTTAGTGCCACGGGAAGAGGCAGATCTCTAAAGTGGGTGAGAGTACCTAGTCGGACTTTTTACTCTTTGATCTGCTGACTTACAACAGAGTGGAGCTCCCTGGGATTGGCTCTGAGATGGCCAGGAGAAAGAGAGGAAAGAACAGCCCTTATTTATAAATATTTTCTAATGGCATGTCACTATCTTTATTTCCCTTAAAACCCAGCATTTTTTTCTGAGTATCTTCCATGAGATGCTGATAGATGTCCAGCTACTCTACTTAGTTACTCTCAATCTTGCCGCATTTTATTTTTACATACTAGGTACTACTTACTAATTCTCTCATTTGTTTATGCTTTGCTCTCCACATCCCCCCACTAGAATACACACTGCATGAAAGTTGTCACAAACATTTGTTGAATAAATTAACCATTGCCAGGCACTGTTCTAAGAGATGGATGAGAAAAACAAAATCCTATTCCTTCTACAGTTTATGTTCTGTGAAGACATAATATGTAATACCAGGAAAAAGAAACCTGAAGGAAACACCAGATTGAAGAGGTTTCTTCACTTCCCTATTTCCAGAGCTTTTACTATGTAGAGTGAAAACTGACAAAGAAACTTTCTTTCCCCAGCTGAACATCTGACAGGAGTAGTTTCCCATTTACATTGAACGCACATTGAGAAATGCAGTCCTGTGTTTTGCCTAGGTAATCCCATTTAGTCTTTCCTGGCTGTGATGCTGGCACTAAGGGAAGGTTACCATATCTACATTTGGGTCAAAGTCTTATATAGCCAGTGTGGTGACAACAATAATAACTACAGAAAGATCCTCAATGGTATATGAAAGTCAAGGGACAAGATACTGAAATGAGAGTTGCAGCCATCCCTCCCAGCCTGGATATTCTCCCTCTACTATCAGTGTAGGAGGATCTGGGTTTTACTTACTCAGCTTGAGAGTTTCTGAGCTTCTCTGTTAATTTTGTAAAATTCTTGGCCATTATATATTCAAATATTTTTTCTGCCTCATTTATGTTTGGTACTCTTCTATAGCTCCTGGATGCTGCACATCTTTTTTTGTGTGTATGTGTTTCACTTTGGAAAATTTCTGTTAATCCATCTTTAAGTTTACTGATTATTTCTTTAGCTATGTCAAGTATGAGGATAAATCTGTTGAAAGATTTCTTATCTTTAATAGCACATGTTCTTTAAGATTTCCATTTGATAATTCTTTATTTTCCATCTCTCTGATAAAATTTCCCATCTGTTCATGAATGCGTTCTACCTTTTCCATTAGATCCTTTATATATTAACCATAGTCGTTTTAATGTTCATGTCTGCTAGTTCCAGCATCTGGTTTATTTCTCAATCTGGTTATGGATGTTTTACTTTACACCAGGGTTTTTTTTTTTTTTTTCCTATTTAATGTGTTATGAAGTTTTTGGTTGATTACTGGACATTGTTATAGAAGAACAGAGAGTGAATTAAATAGTATTTACTCATGGGAGTGGGCATGCATCTTCTTCTGTTCTGCCACTAGCATGTGAGGCTGAGACAATTTAGCCAATAACTGAGTGTTTGGCTTTGCTGTTGCTATCTTTAACCTCAGTGTACAGACTTCAGATTCTATAGTGGTGAAATACTGTTCCTAGTGCTTAGGGTGTGGCCTGAAATACCAGAGTTCTTCTCACTGTTCCTGCTCCACTTTCAGCTTTTAGCACTTCCTGATTGCCTGCTCTATAGCAGGGACAGAGAAGGAGAGGTGGGGTGCCTTTCACCAGCTATTGCTCTTGCCCTAGAAGTAGACTCTTACTGCTTGTTATTCAGCATTGGGCTCTTCATGTGGGCACATGAGATTTTCAGTCCTCCTGGTGTCTCAATTTTTGCAGAGTATGTGCACCTGGGCCACTGAGGTAGGGTCTTCTCATATTCCATCCCTCCTCAAACCCATGGCAGCCAAGTCTGCCTTGAATTTGTGACAGATCTTGAGCAGAAGAGTTTCTGGCTTCCTCCTAAATGGTAGTAGACTTCTTATTTTTATAGGTCAGAATCCTGGAACTAAGAGGTTTTTCTGCCCTTCCCATATGGGTAGATAATCCAGAACAGGGAATATCTGCCCAAGTCCTGCAGGTGAGGAAGGTATTCCACTCTAACAGGTAGATGGATTTTGCTTCCACCCCTTCCCAGGAAGTGATGGAACCTCACCTGGGCCCTGATGGTGAGAGGGCTTGCTATCCTTCCCTTGATGGCTTTAGGCTTTTGCTTACTATGAAAGAAGGCTGAGGAAGAAGGCAGTGTTTCATGCCTATCGCACAGAGGATACTAATAAATTTTTGCATGCCTGTACCATTTTGCATGCCTTTTTTCCATCTTCTGATTTACCTCTAACCTTTCTTGTAAGAAAACCAGTAGAGGCCCATGAAAAAAAAAAATGCGGCTCCTAGTTAAACTGATACTTTGGCTCACACAAGGCCCTTAAGAAATGCATTAAACTTTTAGTAGATCTCTTCTTACTCAATTTGATGACAGTTACATCTTCATCCTATGCTCTTCCAAAGTTGAAACAATGTATGTGTTCTATCTTTTTTCAGAGAGGCTTGTCACTCTTTGGAATTTAGTTCACTTAGTTCTAAACAAATTCAGTTCACTAATGAATTTAAGAAAAGCTATAATTTTAAAAATTATATGGCCTTTGTTCATTGTTATTGATGGAATGATGATCTCTTGAGGATTTATTTTATTAAAGAAAGCAACAGTTAGCCAGTTAATATTTTTTCAACCCTTGGTCCTTGAAGGTATAAGTTAAATCTCCTTCTTTCTCTTCTTCTTTTTGATTAAGTCCATCCCAGTTATAAATTTTTAAGATTCTGAGACTATCATAGAATGGAAGTATAAATGTAGGCTAGAGTTATGAGGAAAGAGAATAAAAAACTAAATTTGGCTATGAGGTAGTCTTTGGCCATTGAGAGAGACAGACCATAAAGAAGTGATTATGTTACAGTGTGTGGTGAGAGGGAAATACTATAGTTTAAATGAAAAATCATGATGGGAATTTTAGCATGAAGAGTTGGGGGAACTTGAAGAGGGAAGACAGAAAAATCTGGGC